TATAAACAGTATTAACTATAACTGTATAATTCTCATCTAATTATACGTACAAAAATAATTTTTAAATACCTGTATTTTTGAGATGCATATTAATATTTTTATTAACACTTTACCTACCGCTTGCATTAAATTATAATATACGGTTTTTTTTTCCTTATGTTTTATTGTAATTTTTATTGTATCTGTTAAGCGTCAACCACTCTGAAAAATGTCAATCGCCTTCCCCCGTCCCGAAAAATAAACGTGCCTGCCCGACCGGAGACGATCGAATCGAATTCCCGAGCCGTCGCTACTGGCGGAATTTTCGTCGAACTAAAACCTATTGGCACGGCGGCAATACGTTCGCGCACGAGCAGTGTGGATCACTCCGATGCGACGCAAATATATTGATATCTAATTGTTTTATAGGTAGTCTTTTTTTTACGCTAATAATTTGAGAAAAAAACACACTACGCATTCAATAGGGGTATTTTTTTTTTTTAGAGAGTATTTTTTGTCTACAATCGATTCGGCAATTGATGCGCTATCGACAGCCAAACGGTTTCCAATGGCTTTTAATAGTATCCCGTACTAGGGGCCCATGAGCGTGCAGTGACCGGCCGGTCGCCGAGCGTATCACACCAGCAGGCTGCTAACCTATTCCACCGAGCGGTTTTCCGACCGCGCGCTGTATACCGCAGTTAACGTCTATGGTACCCTAGTGCCACGCATCCTCAATACAAGTACAACGAACGGAAATTTCACTTGCACTTTTATTATTTTCGTACCATCACTACAGACATTAATTTTTTATACGATTATTACAGCACTGATGTCCAGTATGACGGCGCGTGAATAACAAAAATAATATATTTGTTATTTAATCCGTTTCACTGAGGTTACCTAGAAATAAACCGAAAAAATAAATACGTTTTTCTATTTTAATTTGTGTGTATTTCCTAATATATATTATTTGTAAATTATACAAGAACATCTTAAACGAAAAATTTTACGTTTCCTAGTAATCTATTATTGTTTTTTAGATACAGTGATGAGTAAGTAGTGTGGTTTGATCGGTTTTGATCATCGTCCAAATCATCTTAGAAAAATCATCTGTATTGCAGTGCGAAAAATAACCATAATTTTTCTCGTCAACATCTGTTTCGAAATAAAAATATTTTTTATTTGGATTATTATGACAATAAATATAATAATGACCGTCATTTACAGTAATAATTAACAATTTTTATTTCAGCTAAGTTGTAGAAGTATGTAGCTAGGAAGAGAGGTTTGGGTGCTGTAACCTCCCCCACCCCGTTGGTTCTATTTTTTATAAATAAATAAAGTAAGATTAAGAAGGAGGTTGACCCTTAAACCCACAAACACCCGTTGAAACCCACCCATTGGTAAATCCTGGCTACTAACACTGATTTTTAATGTCAAATTGAATTATTTCAAAAATGTTATTAAATCCACACTAAATGTTTTCTGAACAACAAATCAAACCTTTCAAAACTAAATTTGAACGTTATGAACACGATGCTATTATTTATCCCACTGAAACTTCGTGCGATACCTTATATACAAATATGTTATATTCGTATTTGCCTTCAATCCTCACGAACAGTGAAGCAACCCGGTATTATTTTCGAGGAGGGGGAAAGGTTATGGATTTCAAACACAAAATTTCAAAGTGTTTTCTGGACAATAAGTTTTTCTAAATACTGCGTAATTCTTTTATTGCCAAACGCTCATTATTTCCAAAACTTGCAATATTTTCGATTTCCATATAACAACCTGTATTAAACATTCTATAAATAAATGTAGTGTTAGTTTAAATGAATTTTGGTGTTGACATTTTTTATTTCCGATGCATTAAGTTTAGGTAGGGGAAATAACGGAGCATAATTTGTGTGGCGGCATGGAACGCGCAGATTTTTAATATATAGTGTCTCACTACTCTCCTCCTATCCAAACAAAAGTGAAATATCTTGTCATCGGATTGATAGAAATCAAACTATTTAATATCGAAACCCATTTTAAACTAATACTGCGTCTATCTACGGAATGTCAAACATGGGTTGCCGTTTGAAAATCAAAAGTATAGGTGTAAATGTAACATCTCAAAAACACTTGTTTTTTAAATTATAAAAAAAAAAAAAATAAAATACAGTTATGAAAAAATGAATGTTCAATGATAAAAGAATCACCGCGATAAAGTGCTCAGACGTATAGGTTATTCAAAGTAACATTAGGTAGGTGTATAAGGTAATTCAAAAATCGTAACTGGGGATTTTATCCCGTAAATATCATTAATTGTAATATCGTATATTATAATACCACGCCGCCGCAATATTATACGCAAAACTCGTGAATAAAATTTCAAATTTTGCGCGGAGTGGGGAGGGATTATAAACCCTTCCCTATTTGTGCCACTATACCGACATCGCGCAATAACAAATAATAATAACGATTTGTTTGTCTGAGTTAATGACGCGTAACAGAACGCGATTCTATAAACATTTATTTTTCTTTCTACTTTCGCCCGCGAAATCGCACTGCGCCGTCGTCGAGTATAATACGCTGTACATCCGGTTTCCGGGCGATGATAATAATATTGTTTAACATTTTTTTTTTTTTTATAAACCCTCTGGTCTGCACGTCACGTGGGCCGTCGGATTTTATAAACGCATGTATGTCGGATGCAGCTGTAACAATCGCGTAAAAACTTTTGTCCGCGCGCGCGCTCAAATCCGTTCCGTAAACATTGGTTATGGTTAATCCTCGATCGAGCACTTGAACGTTTACAATATTCGCCGCCAGCGAACCCTTTTACACACACACACACACACATTATAGGCCTTTGAATAACCCCGCCAGCGACGATTCTTTGCAGCGAGACCTTTTTTTATACATGCATAGGTAGTAATATAGTATGCCGAACGTTCTTAATATATATATATATATATGTATAGTATTATTTCTATTATACTATAGTGCTGTGTAGATCTTTATTGATGAATTCACGCGGATGACAAGTCAGCTTTGTAACAATCGTTAAAATTTCCATTCGTTTTCCCTCCTTCGACACCTATAGACGGCCGTGTTTTCGGAACCTATACTATTTACAATAATAGTATGATATACGTATATACGCGTAGAATATAATGCTGGCTAATTGTTTTGGAATATTAAGACTTTAGGTCAATAAAATGTATTCAATTTTTTTAGGCGGGGGATTTTCGTTTGACCGTATATTATATTATCCAAACGAAAAATACACGTAAACATTCCAAATGAGAAATTATAGTGTTATTATTATTTCATTATATTATATTAAGTACACCAGATTTGGCGTTACACAATGAACACAATAATCTCAATCGATTAGTTTTCCTAATAAAGCGATTAAAATATTATAGTAATATATTCAGATAAAAATTCACTGTCATATTGACACGTTTTATTATTATTGTTGTTGTTAAAATAATATAATAAATAGTGCTGTTTTGAAATATAAAATAAGAATCAAATTAAAAACACGAAAAAAAAATCAAATATACCTACTTATTCATATTTTAAGTCAATTCGTTTCGCATTGCAAGTATTATTATAGTATTAGTCATAAAATATTTAGATTTATATTAGTTTTTATAGATCCATACGAATCCGTTGCTCGAATTGGAAAAAACATAATCTTAAGACTAGTAAGTTTAATTAAAATTGTATTATTTTTATTTTCCTAGCAGTATTTTTAGTTATAAGGAAAATCCTAGAACACCGTTGGGGAAACTGTAATACTTAAACAATAACGAATTCTGTATTATTCGATATTTTTTTTCTGTAATTCAGTAAAAAATAATCTCAGAGGCCGGAAATAAAATTAATAAAATGTATTGCCATTTAAAATATTTGAGTTTTTTAAGATTTCATTTGGTTTTATGCGATTTAAGTTGTGTATAAGTTCAATTTATTATGAGTTGTAATTAATAAAAAAAATAAACTTTAGCGTAATGTAGTAATATTTTTTTAAACGACTATAGTTTGAATTTCAATGAAACTCATTTTAATAAAAATGTAAAAAAATATATATGTACCGTCCCTGCGCCCCATGTATTCTACTTCGAACAAACAGTATAGATATAAGGTGATATTCCTGAAAAATTAATTGAGTTACTCTGTCTCCCTGCGTCTCTACCCTGCTCAATTCTAGCACTGTATGATTCATCCGTGACGTTATATTTAAAAAAAACTTTTATTTGAATAATAGTAATTTATAATTTTATAAAACAAATCGTGTACTATGGCAATAATAATATACAACACTGTGAAACGGCCTTTAATACTAATTACCAGTCGTCAGGTGATTTTTGTTTTTCTCACCGTACAATACTGTTCCATACAACTACCTATGATATATAGTCAACAGCGGATTTAAATTCTCCACCTAAATTAATATTAATTCTATATTTCACGTGCTCATGAATGCCACCTTTTCTTTGCACAAAAAATCCTAGATACTCTCAGCCTCGTGTATAACCGCTTATTGTCGTTAACTGTTTTGTTCTGTTCCTCCAAACTCATATTCTCTTTTTTACTTCTACTTATCCTTAGTCCATTTTCTTCGAGTGCTACTCTCCATCCCTCAAAAATCTATTGATAACTTATGCCAGATTTTAAGTATTATCAATAATATACATTAATGTATGTAATTAATTAGAACTTTATTGTGTTTTTTATTTTATTTTTAAAACTGATATTGTTTAAATCAAATTATCAAACATCAATAAATAAGAAAATTTACTTGTACATAGTATCAAAGTAAATCGTTTAAGATATCTTTTTTTTGTGCTTTTTGGTTGCATTTTGATCGCTAAAGGGCGATAGCCATTAAAAGGATTGTGTGCTTGCTCGATCGTGATCGGTGGAGAGTTCGTCGTCGGTGACTCGGTCGCCGTTACCAATTCGTTGGTTCTGCTTAAGTCCTGCAGGTCCATGGTCAGAAACGGAAGTGATTCAACTCATCCATCACCGTACACGGCTAAATGCATGTCTGTTGGCATCAAACCGTCTAAATCCTTACGGGTGTTTGTCCGCTCAGTCGATATGGCCAGACCGAGGGCGTCCACAAGAAACCGGTCGACTGCAGAGACGACGATCGAAGTAACGCTGTCCCGAGTGTCCATTATGTTACTATCGATACTATTGTTCTCACTCATTACACAAGTAATACTGAAAATACGTACACAAAAAGAAACGCAAAGAAGAAAATTGGCTAAATACGTTAATATCGTTGTAGTTAATACAACAAAATATTATTTTACTCGCATAATGATTGTACAAATTATTATAGGCTCAATAAACGTGTACAATAATTATTATAATAAACGACACGGCGGTCACCTAGGACACTAAATCTACTATTTAATATCTGCGATATTATTTTAGGTGTAATGAAAATCTCTGATACTGTAATAAATTCCATTTAAATAATATTTTAGATTCTGAGCGAAGCGACAAGAATCAACATGAGATCTTTTTATTGCATGTTTGCTTGAATTGGAGGAGTTGATTATTTAAAATTCTCATTAACGTACAAGATGATGAAGAAAACTGGTTCTTAAATGTTAAAAAAAAATAAAAGATTAAAAAGGTTGTCATTAGCAACCGTTTTTATTTATTTTTTTGTTACTATTTATCTTTTATTTTATTTAATCTTTTAATGTTTTTTAAACAATCATTATCGTAAAGCAAACTCTGTTGAAAAAAAAATACTATTGACCGAGCTCCGATCAGAATCGTAACGTAAATGTTTTATTTATAAGCGATGTTAATTTCAAATGTTGACGAAAATCATAAAAATCGCGATATTTGCGATGAAAATCTGTTAACCGAATTTCACTCAGAGTTCTTATTATTTATGTAGAACTAGATGAATTGTTTTTTAAAATCACTTTTCTTCGTAATTTAAGTTTTGTAAAACATTCGCTATCTCAACTACATTTCTCCATCTTTCTACGTTATACTCTATTGTAGTATTGTTACTCTATGGACACAACTAATTAAATCATCATTCACTCTATCCAACGCTTTTGGATAGGCTTGGAGAAAGGGCTTTGACAGCCCTGTCTTTTCTCATTTAATTTCTCGACCCAAGCTTTCTTAAAAAGGCCATTTGATCTTGGCCAGCTTACTCGAGTTTAGTAGATTAGTTTTACTTCAATACAAGTATCTTAAATACGTATTTTAGATCAATTGTATTTTGTATCTTGTAACGCAATACAGTTCTCGAGTATTTTTTATTGAAATACTGTAATCATGTATCAAGTACATAAATAATCATTTTGAAGTATCCTGCCCAAAAGTGCCTGAAGGAGACAAGCTTGGTCATTTCCTTCTCTAGATTATTAACTTTTCGAGAAATATATTAAAAATTTAAAATGATTGTACTAAAATAAGATAAGTTATAGGAATTTCGAAGAATATTTCAAATAAAATATAACCACCGCATTTTGTTAAATATATAGCATGCCTTTAAAATATAATTTATATTTTGATTTTAATGTTTCGAGTATCGAGTATCTACTATTTAAATATATAAAATGCAAGAGTATCGAGGATCTTATATTTCAATATACTTATGTCTTAAATGAATATCTCATTTGAATACTCATTTCAAAGTATTTTAACGATCCCTGCGAATAAGTCTGGGATTTTGGGCCAAATAGGGTCGATCTCCCTTTTAATCAGTTTTAAGAAATTAAGAATAAAACACATTTTTGGACTTTTTTAATATTTCAATAGTAATTTATCTAACATTGGTCTTCTCAAACCTCACAAAAATGATTATTGAGATACGCCCTTTTGCTACTAGAAAAGACATACAATTGTATATGATTGGCCATATAAATCATTTTCACCAAAATGTGACGTTGGCCCTTTTTGGACCCAAGCTCCAAAAGTATAAAGTTTGAAAAATAATTTAGGAAGCGCGTAATAACGGTTCCGTTTATAGAAATCGGTATATATAGTAGTAAAAATACTAATATTAAACTGAATATTAAACGTCTGAATTATTACTGAATAATAAACGTCTGATCGAAAAAAAAAAACAGTTTGTTAGATTGACTATTACTCTGTAATCGTAGTCAATACGTTCGTCCTACAGTTTCACCGCACGACGACGTGAGTATATACGTTTACTCATATCCAGAGCAAATATTAGGACACCTGGGACCGGAATGAAAAAGTTCTGATGTTACACATTGGCCCGACATCAACGGCCCTTTTGTGCAGTATATACGAGTATATAGTTGTTTTAATAGCGCGATACAATATTGCAATCGAATCCAAGTGCTATTAGAGAGACCCATCATTGCACACGATAAACAATATACGCGGGCCACATATTATTTTATTATACACGATGTATTCTCCCCAAATGAACCGCGCACGTCCCTCGAGAGCGGCTGAATCAATAAAGCATATTTTCGTCCGCACTCGTCAGTCCCGAAAACTAGAACGAGAATTATTACACTTTCCGTTCGGAATGCCGAACGGACGACCTATACCAGTGTCTGTATATATTTATATAATAGAATACACAATGGCCAGACCAAAGTTCGGAAACGAAGACGTACACTTAAGAACAAATGAACGTAAATCAATACAATTATTATTAGGGAGAGAAGGGAAAACGAACGGAATGGACGTATACAATGAGACACAATACTTATTGGAAAACAGAGATAAAATATGAAGTTGGTCACTTCCGATCCGCTTATATACCGAAAACTCCTACAGTGCGTTCGTTAAACAGATCGTATTCAACCTACCTTATTATTATAATTCACGAAGACCTCGAAAGTAACAGTGGCGGACAGAGGAGAATTGCGTGGAGAAACGTTGAAATCATATTTGACAAATCACAGGTTAACAAATAAAATAATAATATGTATATTTAAATATAAAATTATTATAGATTGGTCGGTAACTATATTGTATTTTACAATATAGTAATATTGTATTATATTTGCGGTCTTATGACTTTGCACAGACAATCGCAAAGACAATCCTCATCACTATAGATATATACGAGTATGTAAATGCATGATATTGTTTGTTGGGGTGTTATATTACAATATATCCTAGACCACGATGCAGCTGCACGATAACATCGTCCATCGGTCGTATCAAACTTATATTTAAATTTGATTTGCATTCATTCGACATTTATATTATATTATATACGAATATATATTTGGAAAAAAAAAAGACCCCTGCTTATATTTTATTAGATTGTATTATTATACTATACGTATACCAAAGCCCAATCCCACTTGTTATGCATTCGTGCATATCACCCCTCGCGGACCTCAGTAAAAAAAACCACCTGTACCTTTGTGTACGGATTACTCAATTAAAAGGTCTAAAAACACTTCTGCCCCGACACGTGGGTGATAAGAACACTCGATAAGAATTTTGTATAGTTTTCAATCACATATACTATTATAATACTCATCGGTACTACAATATAATATAAATTACGATTATCCCTCCCTACCCGACTCACGACCGAGCGACGATCAGTTTTTTGTCAAACGTAACCAATACGTAATATTACAATATTTACATCATATTTCTCTTAAACATAAATTTAAATTAAACGAATACGTATTGTATTAGTTTTTAATTAAATTACCTATTTTAGACTGGGTTCTAATTAGATTATACCAAACAATAAATGCGTGTGATAATTATATAACATTATCAATGTATATTTCGGCGTGTATAAAAAATGATTCCTCGTATGACGAAAAATATTTTTTTTTTTATATACATTTTATACAATTTATTCATAGTTCGTACGTCACACATTTTGTCAATTTGAAATATGTAATCATTGATGAATGTAATGCGTACGTTATCCTCTTCCGCCCATTTAAAACCAATAAATATAATATTACGATACGGAATAAATGTTTCATTAATATTACAATTATCCGCTAAATTCAAATATATGTACGCAATTACTAGGTATACTTACTTACTACAGTATACGAGAAACGCACAATATGATTTTATTAAATGGAATAATACAAAAGAAATGACACGGGCGTACGTTTAGTCTACGAAAACACCATAATATGTTGCGTTTTCTATTCAACAAGTAAATGGACAGACAAGTTTAATAATGTAATCATTGTAAGCACAATATGGTGACTGCAGCACGAGCCGTGGCACGCGTACGCCGATCCTTGTACGACACGTGCCGTACACGCGATGGACTACATTATATAATAATAAAATAACATACGAGTCAATGGATTTTAACACTTGTTCGAATGGGGTAAATAAACGGCTGGCGTTTTTTAGATTCTGAACACAGCGAGGAATGTATTGATTTTACTACGATGCGTTTTTCGGGCATGAGCAATTTTTACACCAGAAATTTCGGTCCAATCGAAAAATGACAAGAAAAATTTTTTGTTACACATTTTGGAGGATCTATAGTTGGCGCATTGTAGTGGTACATTTTTAGTTTTCCAAGCTGTTTTATTATTAAAAAATTGGACAAAAACCATGAAAAAACATAGAACTAAAAAGTACTGAAATAATGATTTCATTAATACTATCAATTTTGTTTTTTCGTTATAACTCGGTTAAAAATATTGGTAGGTACCCCTAACATTTTCACAAAATATTTTTATATACTTTTATTGGACTTTTCGTGATGTGGTTTTTAAAATATTCTGGCGGTTTATGTGCTATATTTAGGTATTTGACATTTTCGAGTTTTTTTTTTTTTTTAGTTTTTATTTGGTAGGTATTATAATATTATATAATATGGGTACAATTTTTTGATCAATCAAAAATGCTCTGCAACAATTTAACATGGGGTTTATTATAAGTTGTATTTAGTGATCAAAAAAAAGTTAAGCATAATGTAATACTTTTTTTACTTTAGTTTAGTTAATTTATTGTGTAAAGAAATAAACATTATTATTATTATTGTATTTTTCTTAAAATATGACTAGATAGTCGAGTAGCCTACATTCATTACTGACAGATTAACGTCGCAACGAAAATAAAAATATTAAAAATATGAAATATGTATATTAATACGTAAGTATGAGTAACCTACATATAATACTATTTTAAAATTTGCATTAAATTATGTCAATTCTGAAATTGATTTTGTCCATAACTAAAGGCATAATAGATGTATAGAATGATGAACTACACTCGAATTTCATGTACATCACAATTAAAGCGTCATGCAGAAATTATGTTTGACTTCAGTTTAAACTAAAAGAGATAGTAGATAATTGGCTGACATGGAGAAGAAAAATATATTATTATTCGATCGATTGAACACTAGAGGAAAAATAATCGAAACCTAATAATGTGGTCGAATCAAAAACGCTAGATATTGAAGTCTCCAGACTCAACGGTCGTTCTATACGCTACAGCATAAGTAAGTAAATGGTATTGAAAGAGTACCTATACGTAATGTTATGCCATTTTAGTCCTGTATAAATAAGGGCCCATATCGTGTAAATTCCATTTTGATAAAATTTGAAAAAAACTTCTTAACTCTTTGTGAATTTTAAAATTTTTAACGAGTAATTTTTTCTACGTGTATTCACCGTTTATGTACTTATGTATCAAAACTTAATAATTGTTTTCGTTCTGCATATAACAATATTACAACTATAAACAATATATAACAATATTAACTAACAATATTAATTAAAATATATAACAATATTACAACTGTAAAAGATGAAAAATGCGATGGGCGAAAAAAGTAAATAAAAAATTATTATTAGGTATACTGCAGAGAACTACATTAAAATCCGAATGATAACATATATAGAGTTAATTTTTAGGAAAAATAACTACGTTAACAAAATTGTATAGTACGAAAACGATTGTTTTGATAAAATATAAAAGGACAAAAGAACCCCATATTCCACATGGGAATAAGACCCGCATTTCTTGCGTAAAACGACAAGCCGCGGTTTTCTGTCGAATTAGCGTCGGCGTAATGTCCGTTTCTTACACGAAACTATGCGTAGGTACCTATATGCGAATACCCGCCAACCGAAATCGAAAATCCGCAATACTGTTGACTCGTTTAAGCCGAAAACGGCGCTACATATAAGGCGTCCCTGTATTTGCACGCATCAAATCGTACGCATACACACCTATGTACGTAATAATAAATCTCCTTACCGCAGTGTATTATTATTATTATTATTATTATTGTACATATTGTATTCGTGTACAAAGGTGCGGTAAATGTGGTGGGTCGGAGGGTGGGGTCGCGTGCACGACGTGTGGGGGAGCCGATCGATTTCATTATATTATTATTATTATTATTATTATTATTATTAAACCGAGCGGTTGTTGTCACCACACACGCACCACGTTCGCATTATAATATTATATACGACGAAAATCGGTTCAATAGAAATCTAATTGCGGGACATTAAGTCCAAGCCGTGCCGTCGTGGACGGGGACAGACCTTTTCAAAAACGGTCGACCCACAACCCCTGCAGAATGGGGTCGTGTATGCGTCTGCATAAAAAATTGTAGCGCAATACCCGTGTATATACATACATATATATTATGTATATATAGACACTCGGACGGGATATCACGGAGGAGAGCATTATAATAATAATAATAATAGTTATACGAGACGGTTTTTTTTTTCGTGTTTTACGACCCGGCGAAATCCCGCGTAAAATCCGACGTGAACCGCGTGTTCGATTGGACGCGAAAGGATTTACACCTCTGTGGCGGCGACCACTTGTCGCTAACGATCACGTCGGCGGGGCGTGTTGGCCCGGAACCGCTAGGTTACCGCACCGCGCCGCCGCCGTACACTCGCCGTATCTACACGTGTATACCTACCCTTATATTATCGTACTTATAAAACGGAAACGATGGGCCCATCATCATCATCATATTCGCGTATTATATATTAACGCAGATGGTCTCCGTTTTTGGATTCGATTTTTTTTTGTCCCCGTAAACCACTGATCAACGTCCGGCGTCTGCAAATGCGTACGATATACGAGTACATTGTGGCATCAGAGGCGCAGAGGCATCAGAGATTATTTACCTATACCTACGAAGAGGGGGGGAGTGTTCTGACTGGGTATCAATTATTTGTAATTTGAGTGAATTATGAAAAATAATTAAACTCCTGTAGTGATATCGAAATGGGGTGAGAGGTTTAAGCCCCCCCCCGAACCTCCTATTACCTACGTCCATGTACATTATTGTATATATTCATACAATTTCCCGCTTTTTTTTCGGCTTTTCAAATTTGATGAGAAAACTCCTGAGAAAATCGAAAAATATCTCTTTAAAGTACCTACCCATTTTTATTTCCTTTCAGAAAAAGTGCTATACATAGATATTCGAGCAAGTCTTCAAGTAGAAAAGTTGCACACAGATAAAAAAAGAAAATAAACATCTTTTTAATACTAAAATCTTCTTCCTTCCGCTCGGAATCTAAATTAGAATTATTGCACTCAAAAACAATTTTACTTAAATTAATAATTATGAACGCTTGATATGAAATAGTTATCAATTTCTTTTGCAACAGCACTTTTTTGTAATTTTTGATATTTGCTATTATTGTGAGGTGTGTAGTTTATTTTCGCGACCCATCAAAAATTAATTCTAGGCTCACAGGTGGGTCACGACCCATAGTTTGAGAAACACCTGGTTTTATTATTATTAATTAAAATTGAAATAGACATAAATTATCATTTTTACCACTGAGGATTAAAAAAAATAATATTAATTATTGAAATCAAAATATAACAATTATCATTTATTTATAAATTAGTATTATAATATAACCCAAAAATATTTCAGAAATGTGCATTTATTTTGAAATCACAAAAAAAACTAAATTATTTTTTTGTAAAAGTTTGATCTAAAACAAGAACTGGTGAAGGATGGGCCACTGTTGTAGATGGGACGTTTAAAATATAGGATACATAAATCCTTTAATTTATATCATTTGCGATTATCGTCAAAATTTGATCTTAGAACCATTATGAAAAAAAATGACTACATTAAATTCTAGTTTTTTTTTTTGGACCGCTAATTACAACTTATTACAACTCTGTTTAATTTTTAAGTATTTCTGTTTGGTCAAACAACAATAGTAATTACCAAATAAAATAAAAACCACGTACAAAACTCGCACACAAAAAATGCCAATAAATAGCAGAAAAATCGCTTTAAAATATTATCACATTTAGAAAAATTAAATATAAGTTTTCTGTCAAAATTTTAAGTCTCTACGAATATTTTTAACTGAATTATAATAAGCAAAAAAAATTGAAAAATAATGAAACCATTAATTTTCTCAAACTTCCCCGTTATTTCTACGTTTTTTCTGAATTTTGATCAATTATTAAGGAAACTACGTGAAAAATCAAAAAATAAAACAAAAAGGGTCTCTTGTTATTTTACGATTGGTTGGAGCAAGTTTTTTGGTCAAAAAATTGTTTACAAATAGAAAAAAACCACACACATCATAATACAGTATATTCCACTACGCATCAAAAATTTATCTTCGACTGAACTTTCAGACTAGCAAAAATATTACTGTAACATTTGACGTTTACTTAAAATGACTTAATATAAGTACAACATTCTTTATACGGCAATTCTATTTCAGTATATTTAATTTTAACTACAAAATAATTAGCAACTGTTTTTACTGTGATTCCATCGCAATTATATTCCATCAAAGGTGTTCATTTCCCATGTTTACACAATTCGTATTGGTGGGTAAACCAACAACCAAGTAAACGTGTCAGGTATCTATCGACTTTATCATCGTCGGGGCACTTTGCAAATTCAATATATCTCTTATATTCCTTGTGAAAACCCCGTAAATGGGTTCAGTTGAGATAACTATAAGTTAAGTTGATTAAACGATATGAGACGCTCGTTGTCACCACTCACAATATATTCTTAACTGAAAAAGGGAAGATAAATCACAAATGGAAAGTACATCAACCATCATCAACCCTACACTACGCATAAAACGAAGAAACTTTAACCAATAAGTACTATTGTAAATAATTGTTGTAATCAAAAATAAAATATGTAGAAATATGCAAATAATATTATTCAGGGCCGTGGAGAGAAAATTGGGACCCAGGGATAGTGTCGTACAGACCTCCCCTTTCTGTCCCATACTGTACATACACGTTCGATATTTCCAATTAAAAACTAAAACATAGCATTATTTAAAATCGTATTTTTATTTACCTTCGAGTCGCAACAACACAAAAAACAAACAAATGTAAAATATATCAAAATGTACAAAACACTGTCTTCCGACCGCGACGTTTGTCATCTTATCTACCCGATTTACGACGTAAAGGTAATTCTTGGAATTATTTCAAACTCAAATACGGACACTTTATATTATTATTTATTTAAACCACCCAGAGTACTATGTACGTGGTATGAGATAACAGGCCGCAGTCTTATGTCGTTCAAAATTCTAAATTATACAATTATTATTTTGCACTAGGGTTTTACGGGGTCACACACAGGACCCTCTCCGGAAAATCCGAAGCCGGGATGATTCACTCCCAAATCCTTCCCCCTTGACGGGCCTGATATCATGTAATGAATGGTACTGGTGTGATTAAGTCAAAAATCGGTTATAAAAATGCGGTGAAAATTGAAAAACATGTTTCACGAGACATTTTTAAAGTGCATATTATTATCTCGGTGGGTCGTTTTCGCGAATTGCTATTTTTTTGACGTACCGTCCTCACGTGCAAGTACGAAACTGATGTTTTTCCGAAAACAATAAAAGATATTACTCGCACATATTATTATCACCACAATACCTACACCTTCCCTGCAAGCATATTGTACGGGAACGGGGGTAAGGATGAGAATCGCAGTCCGGTCGTCTGTATGTACGAATCGCGGCTTTTTGTCCGGCCGATATTTTCCACCGTCACCCGGGTGGCGGCCCTTTCCGGCGCATTTCCCCCGCCGATAAACGAGGGTTGACGAATCACGGGGTTCAATTATAGAAGCAAGAGGTCCACCACCATCGCCGCCACCACCTCCGCCACCACCACTGTACCGGACCCCGCGTTTCATAATACGAAACGTATAATATTTTCATATTAAACACGGTGCGTAAATATATAAAAAAAATAATAATAATAATAAAACCGGGGGACAAGATCAGCTGCGAATATACGCGCGATATTCGGGTGCGCCTTTATACAATATCGTCGCAACGCGGTGGTGGCGGTGGCGATGCCCACGCGAAGGGCTTTTGCCTTCGCTCCACCCTCTTCGGCGGGACCGCGACGTCGAGAACCGCCGACAGGATCCGCCCGCGGCACCGGAACAGGTTGCACTTGTCGACCAGCGCCGATCCGTCTAGCAGGTCCTCCGCGCGAACGCAGAACTGCACCGGATAACCCGCTGCAACATAATACGCGGACGCGCGAACCCGACGACGAAGTTGCGGCACGCTTGATGGAACCGACCGGCGGCACCAGGAGGAAGTGCGTGGCCGCGGCGTACCTGCCGGCCAACTGCGGTACCGCCGCCGTCGATGTGCCGGAAATCTTGAGAAGTCACGCGGAACCAGCGGCCGTCGATCCGTCCCGGACCGCCTCGTCTTCCGGCAAAAGGGTAAGCGCTTTTCGCCGTACGGACGGTGTATAGGAGGTGAATGTAAATTGCGACAAAATTGACTATTAATAAATTGAATTCTAAAAGTCGATTTGTCACAGTTTAGCGACCGAAAAAAAATATATTTAACAGACTATACGATAAAACAAAAAAGGTACATTACAACCGAATTTGGTAAATTGAGTCTTATTTTATTATTTTTAGCTAAATTGAGTACCTTGTAAAAAAAATTAAAGCGGTAAATCGAGTCCCTCGGAACAGTTTGTTTTTATATAACACTAACATGAATATAAGGAGCAAGTCCAATGCTGGATTTCATTTTTTGAAGTTTTATGAAACCGAAATTTATAACCATTAAAAATGAAAATTGTTTTATTTTTTTCACTTTTCATTACTTCTATTATAAAGTTGATATAGGTACGTAACCAGTGTTGAATCCAGACAATTTTTCTGGGGGAGGGGGGCATTACTAAAATATTATATTAATGGTCTTTTTTTTTTCTTGCTTATCTACTCTCTTACTAAAACCAGTCAAATTCGTTTAATTATTAATTTACCCACATTTAACAGGGGAGACAAGCAAAATTCCAAAGGGCGAGCAATCGCCCCCCCCCCCCGGGTCATATACCTGGCGCTTCAACACTTTATGCAACTATATTTTACTTGCAATTAATGATAGTGCACGACTGCACGTATTGAAAATTAGTCTACAGTTGTAGGTGATAATATTGCGTCCCACGTATAATATAGTCTTCGGTATTTCTCAAACACGCGATATTTAAGTAAAAATCTACAAAAATCCGTTCCGTCTGAAATGGCTTAGGTACTCTGTATGTAATTTACTAATAATTGTGTATGATGTACGTAAAAATGTATTTATTTAAAAATAACAGTATTTGATCATAATTCGAATAGAACTCAATTTACCGATTTTGGAAAACGATAAATCCGTTTGAAACTCAATATTTACCAACGCCCCCTGCATGTGCTATCTACATGTCCGTCTTTTTTTTTTTTTTTAGTTTTTCTTTTATAGGTACATCATTTATGGATAAAATATCCTATCTTTCCTAACTTCTCACCTACAACAGTGCCGAACCCATCAGCAGTATCGGTTATTTTTTTATAATAAATTAGTAATACATTCATGTTTTATAATAAACTGTCGCTATTAGTTATAATGGGCGTTGGTAAATTGAGACTGTCATACGGAGATACCGCATGCATGTATGACGTGCTCTCAAGACGAAATGGCATAGTGCACAATTGTGGTAGGTGACACATTTCACTTGACAAATTGTTCAGTAGAGACATTTGAAAGTTTAAACTTCTTTATAAATCAGTACATATTTTTAAAAAATAATTCCATCTAGTGGATAGATCATTAAACGTACACAAGCAACATTTTGTGCGTTATATGAAAGATAAAATAGTCCATTTTATAGAGTACTTAACTCATTTTCGCCAAAAACGTGACTTACCGCATATTTTGTGCACTAAGCCACAATTTGTGATAAGGTGTGATTGAATTCATCTTTTTCAAAAAAAAAAAACCAAAATACATAATCACTAGGTCAAAAATACAGTAATAGCACTGCTCAGTAGCAAATATATTATAATTTCTATTATTGTGACGAATAAACTATTTCGCCTCAGAGCGCTTTAATATGCTACTTAATACGCAACTGATCATTATGTATTAATTTAAACCGTCAACTCTTTTAGATGATATTGAATGACCGGTGTTAAACAATATTAAAACATTGTTTACGTATTGTTTAAACAATTATAAATGCATATTTAGAAACTAATGCACATTATTTATTATGCCGCGGTCTTAAATTTAGTGGTATTAAATAAATAAATAAATATGGTGGTGACTAGTGAGTGGTGATTTTAGTAAAATGTTTGCGTAATGTAATGTTAATGTCGTACTCTTAATTTTTTAATAAACGAAAAGTAAATAAATTATGGTAACTTTATCGAATCTAAATCATAATTAGCGATGATACACACAAGAAAAAATTGTATTTTACTACTTTGTAGGTTTTATTTTTCGTAAGTCTTTAAAATAAAACCGAAAAACTAAAAAATCTGTTTTTTATCTGGATACAAATTAGATAGTCTTATATTTTTTATGTACAGATACCATTAGTCAAGTTTCATCTTTAATCTTATCTAGATAGTTTTTACATTATTTTTGTACAACACTGACGACAGTTAATAATTATTATATGTACTCACCAGAAATATGTAAACAAAATTATTAACGCCGCGATAATTGTCAATCAAATGAATTGATTATAATTTACAATTGAGTAATTTTGTAGCATCGGCAGCTATTATACTATTAAAAATAATTTTTGAAATGTCAAAATTATAATGTTGAGTATGGTGTTTTTAACATTTTTGCATTCGCAATTCGTAATAAATGCGTGTAATAAATTACACAACGACCTTGTACCGCGAGATCAACTAGTTTAAAAAAAGTTTGAACACAATAATTAATGTAAAAAATTTTGAACAGTCATAGGCCTATCGAATTTAAATAATGATAATGAATTTAAATAAAGACTCATTGTATTTTTTCTAATCAATATTTATACCTAATATCACTTTATCCTAATATTACTTTTTTGACATTAATAAACGTTATTTTAAAAACGGCTAAACGAACAGGTACTTTTTCTGTAAAATCAAAAAATATTCGAAATTAGTCTCACCGTTAAAACAAAACAAATACGATCATAATATTGTACGTATTGAGTAAGTATGATAAAAAAAAAAAATTGCATTCGTGACACTCCTATATAAACTTCCGAGCCCCAATTAAATATAAATATACTGTTCTCATACAGCACTTAATTCGGCAAATTATAACGTAATAACAGTGTTAATTATTTTTGTTATTGTGATAAAATAAAACCGTATAATTTATACAATTACCACGAGACCTTATGCGATTGTAATAATGTAATATTACGGGTTTTTTTTTTTTCCCAAGGAAGATTAAAACCACTTTACTGTGCGTAGAAAAAATACAAAGATTCATCTGACGCTGTATTATTCTGCGTTTACGCAGCGACTAAAACAATTTTTTGTTGTTGTTTTACAGATCCTACTGTCCGTGAACGAAGCGGGACTGTTGGTGTGCGTGGAAGGGACACACTGTCCCGTGGCCGGTTGCAACTGTTGGATACTGTCCGTGCCGCTGGCCGACGACTGTCACGCGTACAACTGTCGGCTGTCACTCATGGCCGCCGGCACCGTCGGGCTACACACTACCGCCGCCGTGTTGCCAGGGCAGCAGCTCAAAATGTGGTTCCCGCCCGACCTGCAACTAATGCTGCACGTGCCTTTTCTCACGCCCGTCAACATAAGAGGTGAGAGATACAGAAACGCGTGTCCCCGCGGGCGGCGCTACCGCCGTTCTATACCCGCCCGGTCAATTACGGTTTACACTGCATATTGTATTCTCCTCGTGTGAACGCGATAGTGGTTTTATTTTTTATTTTTTAATGTTAAGGGCGCGGGTAAAACGCAAACCAAACTTAAAAAAAAGTTCTAACGCCGATTCGATTTGATTTCGAGGGGAGCGGGAGGGGCGGACGCGAGAGATTATTCGAACTCCATTTCGGCACAGACTGAACACAGTTCTCACACGAGCCACCTCTTTAACCGGGAATTTTCGGAAAATTAGAAACCCGGACCAATACGAATCGGTTTTCTAGGAAATGTCGCGTGTAGCCGTGGAGCTAAAACGAACGACAATGTACAAACGAACAATATTATTAATAATACACTGTAGAGTAATGACGGCGACCGTGTGTATTCACAGACGAAAGAAAGTACGTGTGCCACGAGTGCGGTTACACGTGCGAGAAGCCGAACCCGCTGAAGATCCACTTGGCGTTGGACTGCGGCAAGCTGCCGCGGACCGAGCTCTGGTCCAGGCTGCGGGCGGACGGCAAAACCGATCGGACGATCGAAGCGTCGTTCCGGTTCAGCCTCACGCCGGCAGAGTCGAGGACGCCGCTTCGGTCGTCCGCCACCGAGTCGGCTTTCCGGCCGTACTCGCCCGCCGAATCCACGTCGGCCAGTAGCGGCGGCCGGCCGTCCCCGGCGCGGCAACCTCCGCCGCAGCCCCCGCAGCCGCCGCCTCCGTCGACGTCGGCCGCGGACGCGTCGCTCCGGCTCGGCGGCGATTCCACGATATTCGACCGGCGTTGCGCTGAAATGGAAACGATCGTCAGCAACCTCGGCCACTCGGAACAAGGACACCTGTGCATATACTGCGGCAAAGTGTACTCCAGAAAGTACGGGCTCAAGATCCACATCAGGTACGGTAACCGCTTGTATTCGAATCGGTTGTAGGACATTTTGTACGGTCACCTGGAAAAAAATGAACACCGCGGACAGTTTGTACTATTTTAGGTGGTAACAACAGTCAATATAGCATAGAGTTATTACCATATAAAAAAATGTATGTATTTTACATGATTTTACGTTAACGTCTGTTAAATAATAATAATAATACATCCGTGCTATATACAGACTTCGAGAATTTTTAAAACATTCACTGGCAATTATTGTATACAACGGTAAATTATTTCAAGTAATCGTATATTTGTTACTATTTTATTTTCGTGCTGTCTACGGGCTTCGTGATTTTTTTTTCGTGTGTTTCAATTTGTTTGTCTTATATAATTTTTTAAATGACTGGCACATTCGTCCAATTGCAATGATCTCAAAATACTCCAGAAACTTGGATTAATCGATCCAATCAATTTATTGAATGAACTGGTCCATCTTTCGCTAAAAATGTTCGTCCAATGTGAATTATTAATCGTTTGGTGTCTGACATTCCAAATTTGTTGAGGGAATCTAGGTGTAAAATATATTCACGTCTTTCCCGTTGTTACCCAGATTATTTCTGCCGTACATGGTGTCCACGATCGATTTTCACCAGTTTATTTCTATCGTACAACAAAATGTCTGCGATGTGAAACTCAAACAACAGATGGTACAAATTGTCCGTTTAACCTTTGAATCGTTCAGATTATCGTTATGTACCTACCTACGACGCGCAATACCGTTTCGCAATTATACCACTTCGTACCCTATACCCGTCCTGTTTCCTCCTGTGGTACAGCAGGGTAATAATTAGCATTAGGCGTGTTTTGGCGCGGTGAAAAACCAAATGTAACCCGGTCACTGCAGGGTTCTATAAACACGTCGTTACTGAGATTTTGGTTATGACTTTTGGTGAGGAGTCACTAAAATGCAATAACCGAGCAAAATGAATGATTTTTGACGTTTGGTTATCGATAAAATAATGTTTATTATACCTAAATACTATTTTTTTTTTCCTTGTTATAATTGAAATTCAAGTTTTATGCGTAAATTCTATAGATAGTCTAGTTGACCAGCAGCTGTCATCAGTCATTATTCTGTTACTCGTACATCATAAGCTCTATATCCACCCATTTTTATCCATAGATAATAAATTATTCTTTATTATAATATCTATGTGCGTAACCGGCTCTCGTTTTTTATGTAAATATTCAAAAAATATAAGGATCTGGGAACTCAGTATAGATACACCGTAATTCAGCTACCCACGGCATAGGCAGGTGCCTATATTTAGTTTAATTATCCGCTAAAGCGTGTAAACAATAATAGTAAAGATGGTCTCTTGCCGTATTCTCTCTCCGCCTAGTGCGCCTATAACGACGAAATCCGTCCGTCACATTAAACTTTAGTGATTAATTTTGTTATTTTTTTTTTTTTTTCTATGTTCGAATAGAACTCATACCGGTTTCAAGCCGCTGAAATGTAAGTACTGTTACCGACCGTTCGGCGATCCGAGTAATTTGAACAAACACGTACGGTTACACGCCGAAGGAGAAACCCCGTACAAGTACGTAACTATATTCTACCGCGATAAGCGTGCGCAAGTCCTCTTAGCGGGGCAGACGATGATCATTGAAACCAAACCTCGCACGAAAATCATTCGCACAAATAGTCCAAATATCTTTGGAAGGAAGCTTAAGCCTCCTTCAATACAATATTGATTTTGTATACTTAGTATTTTACTCGATGAGCGCTATATTTTAAGACGCATAGATGAGTTTTCCAAGGGGGGGGTGGTGGTTGAAATTCTCCAAAGTCACCTCCGCTGATTGTGCCAATGCACGAAGTTGAGGTTACTACGTTTAGGGTTTAGTATTTTAGAAAAAAAATAAATGTATATCTAATATGTTTTTGAATATTTTGGCGTTTGGTTAGGTCTCCCCAGTGCGCACGCTTATGACTACAACAGTACTAAACAAATACGACTTATGCCAACGGAAAATCGCTGAATATTTTAACGAAACGTGTCTTTTGTGTTTTGCTTAGATGTGAATGTTGCGGTAAAATTCTAGTGCGCAAGAGGGACCTCGACAGACACATGAAGTCTAGACACGCGCAGGCAATGACGAAAAGCGTATTTAAACTGCACGTACCCGTATGACAACACTGCTGATCATTTTCGTATTTGTCTACCCGTAATTTCTCTAATATTAAGTATTTTAACGTTGTTATAATATTATAATGTTTTTTTTTTTTTTTTTTTTTTGTGATACTTGAACTAGTCTTATACAAATGCCTATGTAATATGAATGCATCTCTACTTAAAAAGTAAATATATACCCATTATTATAATAGGATGAAAATACGATTTTAGAACAAGAAATTGTAATTAAGTGCCACAACAATAGATTTGCTCGATCCACACAAGTTTGCGCCAAATTCAATTATTGGGATTAATATAAATTAAAAATATTTCGTGGGTAAGGTACCTCAATAGTATATAAGCGTATACTATGTTTATCTTCATCGGCACTCTGTGAATTCGTAGAATAAATCTCTTAATTTCCAAACTGTTAAAATAACTTGTTTCAAATGGGTATGGTCTTGGGTCGAGAAAAATTTCGTTCTACATCCGTCTAAAGCGGAGGCCACACGGAACGCTACGCTACGCACGCTACGTATACTATGTATGCTTTGTACGCCATGTTCACTATACGGTGTGGCAACACAGAACACGCTACGTATACTACGTACGATATTTACTACTAGATCCATTAAACAGTCATCAGTCATGTTCAAGATGTTGTCACGTGCGTTGCCTTGTAGTCCCAGGTATTGTCACGTATGTTCTGGTTCCGATATTCGTCCAGATTTTTCTTCCAGAGACAAGGGTACCTGCGCACATCCTCTATTAGCTGCACTTCGAAAAAATTACGTAGCACTCACGAAAATTAATAAAATATAATTTATTTTTGTTAAGCTGATGTTAATAGTGCATGCGTTAAAAATGTACGATCGACTGCTGTTTTAGAAACTCTCCGTCGTCGTAATCGGCTTTCCGTAAAATCGCGTTGCGATAAAATAATAGACAAGAGTCAACACGATAGCGCAGGTCGCCAGAGACGTCGCGACACATCGCTCAAAAATATAGCCACAAATCAAACACTCGGCGACGCGTCGCAACGTAGCTAAGAACAGAACGTAGCGTACACTGTTCCGTGTGGCCATTTACGTCTTCAAGACAGAAAAATTATTTTTTATTCGTATAGCGAACATCCGCGAACATAGTACGCGTAGCGTTCAATGTGGCCTCGGCATAAGACGGTGATTCCCAACGTGGGCGGTACGTTCGGTCTCATTTTCATACGGATATTGCCGACAGTTGTATACTTGCATTTATTACTTGCAATTATAGTTTAGTGTGCGTGTACATTAGTCATACTAATTCGTAAGTATAATAAAATGTCTGAACATAAAATATGAAGAAAATATTTATTTTTCACTTTAATTAAACGGCTGATTATAGAAACTAAACTGTAATTTTTTGAAAATTTATTTTGAAGGGTGGTGTGGGTTTTTTGAAATCTCAAAGGAGCGTTGAGTAAAAAGAAGTTGGGAAAAATAGTTCTAAAATAGCCGAACATATTTAAAGTACCTATACTAAATCACTGTTTTGAAGTTCTTCTGATATATTTTTTGTTAATAAATATAATTGTAGATATATTTAACAATTGCTGAAATCCGTAATTTTCATCAATGACATTTTTAAATTGTTTGTATACTTCAACACATTTTCTACAAGACACCAGTAGTATACACAGGACTTTTTGATGAGGGTAAGGCGATTGAAAATTAATTATTAATCAGTTGTTTTGTCACAGATTTGAAAAATAAAGCAAGTGCATTCTTAGTTCTGATTAATTATAAACATAAAATATACACACAAAAATGAAAAAAAACTTTAATATTTATGTAACTGTAGTAAATGTTAGGCAGTAAAATACAATTTTTAATCTAGTAAAGTATTAAAAAAACTCAGAGATAAACCAAAATTAGAATTTTATGAATTGCATTACTTACGGTTTTTTTCTTCAAACTAAAAATCGAAAAAATTTGATTTTTTTTTTCTGCCATAATGAATAATTATTAAATAATTATTTTGGTTTACAAAACTATAAGATACGTTTTATACAAAAAAACGTAAGTATACAAAATATTATTACTTTGACACTCAAAAAAATTATCTACATAATTGTTTTTCACTAATTAAAGTTAATATTATTATTATCCACAACATCCGTGGGCTAACTTAACGATGCGTTAATTGTTGGTAACATCAGTAAGTTCAATATTGCAATAAATTATAGATTTTATCTAAGGTTGTGTGGCCCACTGTTGTAGATAAGAAGTTGGTAAGGTAGAGGGGAAATTAAACACTAAGATTAAGATCAATCATTGTTAACGAAAAACGATTCTGAGTTCGGTAATACATGTTTTGAAAGGCCGTAATATTTACGATTAGAAAATAATACCCGAGTGGTTTTCTTATTGTTTATAGTTTGTATAAGCGAGAAAATACAAATAAACTCGTAGGAAAACAACCAATAAAACCAACATTTTCTTTACTATTCGAGGCTTTATACAAAAGATACCTACGGTAAATTAAATAATTCCTCTGAATGATTATCTTAAATTTTTATCGTTAGGTCTTATGTTTAAATTAACTTGGAAAAACTACTTTTATAAATTAACTCCGGCTTATATGATGGCAATGGATATCGCATACATATGTTCTTAATTCGACGAAGTTTCGTAATTTGTGATGACTACCGATCGACGTACGAAAAATTGTGATAATTATTGGTGGATTCATTTGTTGTTTATTAACAATTTATTCAACTTTCATAAAATGGTAATACAAATCTCAAATTAAATTTAAAATTTAATATATTTTGCATATTTGTAATTTTAATCTATAGTGTATCACATGAGGTTGGTATTTGGCAAATGATATGCAATATTTTATAATTAGATACATCACCGTTAGATCGCTTTGCAAATGAAATCATGGTAAAATTGTTTTTAATATAGTTACTTTTAATTATATGCTGTATTCTGGACAGTTTTTATGATTTCTACAACAATCTTTAGTGGCTACGTACCATATTCATATAAATATTTGCCCTCGTAAGTCGATTAAATGTTATAAAATTGGAAAGGTAGGAAGCACAAAGTTATTACATAAATATGTCTGAACACAAAGACAAACCATTTTAAATAATGTTTGTGTATATAATATATTATTGAAACCATTCATGCCATAAACTTTCCCGTTTTTCCTGTTCTGTCGGTTTTCACAATGAATAAGAAAAATTGACACACAAATGATGCTCCACTATTTTCTAAAATGAAATGTCTAATATAACATTCAGTATTCAACCATTTCAGTACTTGTTTTTAGAACTTTGTACAGTCTACTTTCTTTAATACTGAAAAATGAAAAAAAATAAATTATGCTATATATTAATTGTGAAATAATTTAATACTTTAAATGAATTACAACAAATACATTTATGGTGAACAAAATTTTATATTGCACTTAGGAAGCATGGTTCATTCAAAGTTTTAATATGAAAAATAACTGAGTTATTATTGGATAACTTCCCTAATCTTTAGATTCACGGTTACTTATATTTTCTGTCTTTTATCAAACCTATTTATTATGCAAAACTTTATAGATTGTAGATTCCTTTAAAATAATAAAAAAAAATATAAAAAAATATTTGTTGTAAGCTTCCCGTAATAGTTTAATTTCTGTCTCAGTCATATATATATATACAATAATATACTATGTAGTGTATAAATTATGAAGGATTATGCACACTTCCCACAGGTTTAAAATTTTGATAAAATAAAAATCTACCATTGCTATCAATTGAACTAATGTCCCTAGAAATTGACTGTTTTAGGCTCTTGGGAAGGTCTTAGTGACTAAGAGTAAAATTAGGAGCAATAAGCCTTTCTCCACAAGATAAATGTTCTCGTAACCTAACCATATATTTTTTTAAAACATTTGCTTTCTAACTATAAACATTTGTTGGAACTACAATCTACCTATTTAACGGGTAATTTATAGTCGTTTAATAATTTGAATATAACATTAGGTAAACGGGTTATTTTATTTTAATACACAAGTATTTTAAAAATGAATAAGAAAAAACACAATCACATTTGGTGAATAATTATATTTAATTTAAAACTATTTTGGTTAAAACAAAATTGAAGTCCTATTAACAGTATTGAAGTATATTACAAAAAAAAATATATTCAGGAAATGGAGAAAACAGAATAAGTTCATTGAGAAGTTCACCTATTTATTAAGTTCAGTGGTTGAGTATTACAACCAAAAATTATATTTACATTTACAGGATGATTTAACACCCATACATAAATACATATATATATGCCCATAGCTGAATGGGTCTTGACCAAGTTATTTGCTTCTATGTAATTTTAAGTTCACTACCTACATCACTGAATATATTCCCTACTGCATTCGGAATTCATTGTCAAATAAATGTACCAAGGATTTTTAGTCTTCTTTATTTTGGTATCAATATAGTTTCTATAATTAACAAGATTCCTAAATATTGGAAGTTCAAAAGCATAATGTTATTACTATGATATCCTTTGAACATAATAAAGTTCGTGTAAATTAGGTACTCAAAAATAATAAGAGGAACCGTCATGTCTCAAATGATTATTTGTTTTTACTGAAAATATAAGTGCATATTAAATTTCACTCTAGACAATACATAAGAAAACATAAGTCAGGTTTTTTAGAAGTAATTTATTCAAATCACATGGATATAAAAAAAAAACTATTAACGTCTGCTAGACTTGGTCTTAGCGGCCAAACGCTTGTCACGCTCTTCAGCAATTGTCAATTTAACTCCCTTACTTCTTGGTAAAGAAATGTAGTTCTTTTGACCTTTACCAATGATGAATACATTGTTCAACCTAAAAAAAAAAATCTTAAATTATACATTTTTCTACTAAATGTGTATTTAGTAATTAAAGTAATTAACTACAAATAGGTTAAGACAAATCATTAAAGTACAGTATATTAAAAATTTAAATATTTTGATAAAAATGACACAAGTACAGTAAACATTATATCTATTCACGAGATTCAAAAACAATTTATTTTTATTTTAAAAAAAACTTTCACTACCACCCCCAATGGATTTAAAAAAAAAATAAAGTTTTATTTTTATAATCAGCAATTTAATTAAAGTGAAGAATAATATTTTCTTCACATTTTGTTTTCAGGTATTTTAATATAATTATGATTAAGTTTAATTAACATACACACACACTAAATTATAATTTCATGTAATAAAATGCAAGTATACAATTTTGGAAATAACCGTATGAAAATGAGACCAAACGAAGCTTGTTAGCATCGATACAATAATATGAAAGCATGTTTACCATTTCACTGTTACTGTAGTGCGTATAAAATATTAAATTATATTATTTTGTACACAGCTATACAATTCACTGTAATTAGTTATGTATTTACTAATATTGTTTTAATAATAATATAATCATAGAATTGTTTTTGATAATGCAAGTCACAGAAAAGTTCCCCATAAAATTAAAAAAAGCCCACGAGGAATGTACTATCTATGTTAAGAATCACTGTTCTAAAATGTAATATAATGAAAACAATACCATAACCAAATGTGTTGCGTTTGTATTACAAACACATGACATTACAGATAAATTAATAAATAACAGATTTGAGTTCAACAGGAAACACTACTATACTAACTGTTCAAAATTAGAGTGAATTGACTAAATAATTTGATATCAAGTCAATAATAACATCAAAGTTAGAACATTAGTTGTGTAATAATTTCAGTTTAACAATATTTTAATTTTTAAACAAGATACAAACCTTTTTATAGTATATTTTGCGTTTCATTTAAAAATTAAAATATCGAAAGAAAAAGAACTGCTACTAGATGATGTTCTTACTTTCAAGTTTGATAATAGAATAATTCAATCAAATGTTAAAATTAACAGTACAATTGTCACTGCTGAATGAAAATTTGCTGTCATGTGTATATAAGAAAAATGTGCATACACGTGTAGTGTCCTCCAAGTTAAATTGAGAATTTCAATAATTTAAATTTTCATTACACTATCTCGCAATACAATAAACTATATAAATTAATTGAACCAATTAAAAAATATCCAAAAAAGAATATATAATGAATTGTAATTGTAAAAATATTTGAGATTTATTTTTAATATAAAGTTTTATATGTATAGATCAACAAATTTTGTTTACTTTAGCTCTATTTAAAACTTTAAACAGAAAACATTGTTGAAGTCCATTTAGTGGACAATTCTCAGACATTAATTGTTTATTAATCGGATTCATATACTTTTTAACTTGTATTATAAACAATAAATATATATTCTGACCTATTTTTGCTTTAGAAAACCAATATAATTGTATATGTTTCTTGTTTTTAATTGTTCAAATGAAAAAAGATTAAAATATTTTAAAATTGTTTCTAAATCAATAATTATTGGACATAACAAACAATAAAATATTAAAATATCAAGTGCTTTAAAGTAATATTATAAAACACTGAATTTATTAAATTAAAATAATTGAATAATTTACCTTGTAGCAAAAATATGCTCGTTAGCATCCTTAATGTGAACAATATCAAATGATCCTGGATGTCTTTCCCGGTTGGTAACAATACCAACACGCCCCAAGTTACGACCTCCAGTAATCATACACAAGTTTCCTGATTCAAAAAAAAATTTTGTATTATAAAACATTTGATACATCTAAATATAGGTTAGCAAAATAAAAAGCAATTAACTTACCAGTTTCAAAACGAATATGGTCCAAAATTTTAGATGTAGCAATGTCATACCTAATTGTGTCATTAACCTTAATGTTAGGATCTGGATAACGAATAGTACGACCATCGTGAGTTGTCAAAAAAGGCACACCCTTTGGCCCAGTTTGGACTCTCTTTACTTTACACAACTTGTACTGTTAATTCAAATTTAAAAATTAATCTTAATAAATATAGCCAACAATTAATAAATAGTATGTAATTACTTTAGCTTCTTCAGGAGTAATTCTATGGATAGTGAATCGTCCTTTAACGTCATAAATCAATCTGAAGTGCTCACTAGTCTTTTGAATAGATATAACATCTGCAATAATTACAAATAATTATATTTAAAAATACAAATATTATATACATAAACAGATACACATCTATAATTAAATATATTATATTAATTAAGGTCTGCTTGAAAGTAGTGCAATGCCAAAATTACATGGAGATCTTTTTTGTCCAAGATGAACAGACTTCAGTATAATAGCCTTTTCTTTTACATTATAAAATAGCTTATAAATAAAAATTAAATCTTACTATAAAAATGTGAAATGAAAATCTTTGTACAGGGAAAATTCTGGAACTACTTATCAGATCTTCTCGACTTTTTTTTTTTTATTTTTAACTTAGGAGTATATCACAGAGAAGGTTTCTATCTTAATAGCATTTGTCTAAGTTAAAAAACGTCCAAGTTATCTACTAATTAAAATAAATATGTAAATTATATACATTTTATACCTATAAATATGTATATACATATTGTGCAGCTCGCAGGTTTCCAGCTATCTGCAGCCTGACCTTATTTCTTTTGCGTTTTATTGACGAGCATTACAAGAAGTTTATTGATGAAAATAATCTCGGGCATCGTGCATACACTAACAATATGTACACCAGTTTAGTCTGTTATAGACTAGTTTATTTAGTCTATATTATATTTTATTCCAAACAATTGCTAGGTTGATTTCAGAAAAATATTCATCAAGATTTTTGGGCTTAAGTTAGGTTAGGTTAACATTTGTTTAACACAATGTTTTAAATTTTTATTTACATCAGAATTGACTTGATTAAAATGCCCAAAAGAAAACCCAGTATTGACCGCTCTATGCAATAAAGCAAAAAGATTACTTTCTATCAGAGAAAATGATACAAATGTCATTGGGAAACCAATAATTCACCAGTCTTTTTAGCAGTGTAAAGAAATATCCACATTTACGTACACTTCAAATACGCAGACAATTCCCATATTTCTATTGGCCATATGACTGATTTGTGAATTTTGCCAGATAATGAAATTGCCTTTTTAACGAAATCGCTGATCCACCAGAACCATTAAAAGTCTAATTAGTAACACTCATAATCACTCTAAAGTTTCTTTAGACAATATACGGAAGTATAATTATGCCTTTCAAATGACGTCTTTTGGTGTCACTGATATAAATAAGACATGAAAATTTCATGCATGCCTTCATTTAAAATAGAAGGTCAGCTATACCATGGAGTTGGTTCACTATTACCAAGTACGAATAAAAAACCATCTATATGTCCTCACGCCAATGGAGAAATTTTATATGATTTGCCAGAACTTCTGCACAGCGTCAATCCATATGTACAAGGTTTTATAACTATTATTGAAACATTACCACCGAACTCAACTGACTTCAAAGTGATCATTTGAGTCAATCAAAAACCATATCATATGAACACAGAGGCCGTTTCAATGCGCCAGTTAAATGAAGTGGCAATACATATACATATAAAATAACTGTTCCTTTGAACTCTGTGTTGAACAAGTCACATTATGTAAAAATATAAAAACCCAGATTTTTATTTAAACTAAATAAAAAGGTATAATGCATAAAGCATTTTCGATTTTATTTCAATTTTTTTTTTTTTGATATAAGAAATAACCTATAGGTACTATTATTCACAGACTTTAATTATTATTTTGTTTTTATTGCAAGAGATAAAAGACAAAAAATTTACCAAATATTTACATTTTAAACATTAAAAGAATGTATTTTTTCATTTATAAACATATTTGGGTACCAAACTATTGTTTTATTTTGATTAGTTTAAAATCAAATTTAATTGAATTATTACATGCATACATTTTTTTTTTATGCTTAACAAACCACTTCTTCCTCGTAAATTTTGCACTATCATTTTAGCACTTGGTTTCTATGTTTATTAAGTTGATCTTAGTATTTACAATATAAATGTGTTGTTCTCAAGAGGATGTGATGTTTTGTCTCCTATGAACTAATAGACATAAAAAATTACGTTACATAAAACATAAATTGTGACATTTAGGTAGAAATTAAGAAGTTTAAACACAAGTAAAAAAATTTAAAAGGAAAATATTTTTGAGGGCTATACATGTCATAAATAAAGTTATTAAAAACCATTAAAAAAAAATAATAATATTAGATTTATTAAAAAGCTGCAATATTTTTTAGAAAACTGATACACACAATACCCTTGAAATAATTCTAGTCTTCAAATGTTGTAATTTGTGTCAAAGATATAAATTTAATGAATCAGAATACCTGCCACAATTCATGTTTTACATAACGTAATTTTGTTGTGCTGTCCATAAGTTGCATAGAGAAAACAAATGTAGATATAACATTTTCTTAAAACAACATTAAAAATTCTCAATAAATAATCATTAATGTGAAAAAATGTACTTCCCTAATCACAAAACAAACTCTTACATGGAACACAATTCAATTTTTTTTTTATTTAGGTTAAATTTAGGTTTTAACACCTCTACTGAGAGGAATTCTCCCTACTATCTTGTAATATAATTTATCTATTATTTGTAGAATATATTTTGAAATGTTTGGCGTGTAACAGATCAAATAAATAAGAAAAATTGACAATATCAAACATAAAACTATTTCTCAAGTAAAGAATACCAGTAACTAAATAAAATATTTTGAATTCAACCATCAGATAAATGTATAACTTTCTAGTTTAAATGTACTGCATGAAGGTCCTAACAAGTTAATTTTTATCAAAACGGCACATGTACTAATATTTGGCCATAATAAGAGTATAAAAAAAATGATAAATGTGTAAAAACTACATGTATAATATTAAATAATCAATGTGTTCTATCGTTAGACCCGACAATCAATTAAGTTTATTACAATGATTAGTATCAATTACTCTGGTACCCCATCAAATTGATAACTTTATAAGAAACACGCAGATTGTAGACACATCTATATACTATTATATAAAATTGTAAGGGTTTTTCTTCGACCGCGCTAACCGAGAAAACTACTGGACCGATTTGGCTGAAATTGTTTTTGGCTGAAACCCGACACTCTGCTGAAGGTTATAGTACCACTTTTGTCAGTAAAAAAGTTCATAAAAGTTCATAAAAAATTAAAAACAATTGTACCTATATTGTGCGGCACGGCGGGTCGCGGGTTTACAGCTACCTGTAACTTGACCTTTTTGTTCGTCAAATTGTATCGTGTTTGACATCGGCGTGTAGGTACGAATTGTTCCGAGAAGTTTATCGCACGCACACCAAACAACATGTATACCGAATATTCGTATTAATCTTTATCTATATCTTTATATATTTATATCTACAATAATTTCTCAATTCTCTTTCTCCTTCGGGATTTCCTCTTCATAAGCTAAAATTAAAANAATAAAATCGTTGCAGAATAGTGTTATAGGAGCCGTCATTCTTACGGGGCCGGCAAAAGGAGAAATTGCATTTATTCCAAGAATTCCCGTGATTCCGTCGGACTTGCCGTTTCCGTTCAAACGGCTTTAATTCTCTGTTAAAGTTTCTTTGGCAATCACGATAAACAAAGCTCAAGGTCAAACATACAGGTACGTTGGCGTAGGTCTTCGAACACAGTGCTTTTCACATGGACAATTATACGTGGGATTTTCTCGAACTGGGGACCCGAAGCATCTTATGATTTTAATTTCAACAGGAGATAAAACAAAAAACGCCATATACTCAGAAGTTTTATAAAATTCTTTATCAACCGTAAATTACTCAGCATTTCTTTTGTATCTGCATTCATTTTTAGTAAAAATATATTTGTCATTAATCCCGCTTGAAACATTTCAATACGTTTTCATTAACCGTTTTTTTTTTTTTTATATTAATTTGCCAATATTATTAAACGATAGAATTTGATTAAGAAGTTCTATATATCATTATCCAAAGGCAAATTAAACAACCAATCACGGGTGAAGCCGTGACGGGTCGGCTAGTAATGAAAATAAAAGCTAATACTATAACAAAAAATATGAAAAGCAAGTCTATGTTTATACATTTTAATTTGGGTGTTTTTTAAAACTATCTTATATACGATTCTTACAATTCAATAGAGTAACAACTCACCCATAAAACCAGCTGGATAATTAGGATCAGTACGGACTTTTCCATCAACTTTAATTAACCTCTGCATAACAATCTTAGTAACTTCAGCTCCAGTAAGGGCATACTTCAAACGATTACGTAAAAAGATCAATAAGGGCAATGATTCGCGGAGTTTGTGTGGACCAGTGCTTGGGCGCGGTGCAAAAACACCTCCCAATTTGTCCAACATCCATGCCTTAGGTGCGTTTAAACGCTTCAAATGCTTCTTCGGACCTCTAGCCTAGAGATAGATAATTATAAGATTATGACTGAATATTTGATACTTGTATACTTATTGTATATAATAAAAATCAAACAACGATCCAATTCCATCAACTGTGTTCATTTCTTTACAAGTATAAAAAATCTCAATCGAAATAATTTCAAACAAATAACAATACAATTATAGTACATTGCCGTCGCCTGAATTATTAACATACAATAATTTAAAATAATACTTTACAATGCTTCAGGGTAAGCCGTAAATATTCGACACGTAAATATTTGTATACAAAATAAACATTCATTGAAAGAAGAATTTCCTTCAAATTTGTTTAAATAAATATACTAATTGATAGATGAATGGTTGTTCGGATTAAGATGGATGAAAAACTTACCATTTCGACAAAACAAAGTTACTGGACGAACGCGAAAACTAGAAGAACATTTCAGGAGACACTAATATACAAAAAAGATAGTGGAGCGACGACGATTTTGTAGGTTATGATTTTATAAACACAACACGGCGTTCTCATCTCTGGGAGGTTGTGTTTATCTTAAAAAGGGTTTTAATTCTCTTTGGTTTTCTGTTGTCAATATTAAAAAGTTAAAATTCTCAAATGCTATGAACAAAATAAAATTGGAATTAATTCTTACCAGTTTTATTTAGTCTTATAAAATTTGTCTTTAGTTGAATAAATTTATACAATTAAACTATACAGTTTTTATTAAATTATTCTATGTTCCTACCATGGAATTTTATGATTTCTAAAATATATTATCATTTACTACCAAATTAGATTAAATACTATCAAATAATCATGATTATCTAATATTTCAATATTTATCACCAGTATTACTAGTATTACAAATTTTTAGGAAATTTATGTTGCTATTTATTACTTGCTACTTTAGTGTTCACAATTCAGTAGTTTCAAAGTGGGAATTAAAAACATATTTCTCTTTTACACAGAATGTGTAGCAATTTAACGCGAATGGTTTTTTTTTTTTTTTATTGGGTGTAATCATAAACATTAACTATTACTTCATATATCTACAGATTTACATCTGTGGGTTTAATATTATCATATTCATTAACTTATTTTAATTCTATAATAGAATACAAATTAAATAAAAGAATGAATAAGAATTTATTTGTCTAAATAATATTTTGAATTTCTAACCATTACGTGATACACTAATGTTTTAATTTTAAATCAGATTTTGCGAAAATTCATCATTCATTTTTAAATACCATTAATTTACAGCAGGTCATTCTTTTTCCTCAATTCTGTTAATTTAGTATAGATAAGGTTTTCGATTTACATTCTAAAGTATTTGGCGTCTTCAATAAACATTTGCATGTTTTATTTTATTTCAAACGAATAAACGTGCAGGTGCTTTTATAACAAATTAGTGCATGTTACATAGTACATAAAACGACAAACAATAGACGTGTTAATAATTTAATTACCACGCTAGATTACAACAAATTATTTTTTTTAATTAAAATACAAATTTTAATAGTTTAGTTTACTTAAGTTATTTGGTGTATACTTGCCTATCTGATGATTTTTAAATCTCAATCCATTTATTGTTTACATATCATACAATATAATGTTATTCTAATAAGATACAACAGTCGAAAAAAGTGATTAAATTTTTTAACATCGGTTGAAATGGTCTGGTTAAAAATAGTATGCCTGAATGAAATATAATATACATAGATCATTACTACTGATCATGTCATATAATATGACTAGTAGTTTCTGTAATTAATTGTTATGTATGCCTATTAAATATTGTAATACATTTTCAAATTGGCAACTATGTAATTAACAACCCAAGACTTATATTGAACTGATTTTCTACATCATTCATAATGGTTTAATAATATTCTAAATAGACAGATACAAAATTAGTTTTCACCTTCGATTAATTATTTATTATAAGATTTGATCTCTAAATAATTAATCAATGAGGACATTTTAAAAAAATCTAAAAAATCCAATACAAAAAAAGAAAATAATTATTATGTAGGTACCATGTTTAAAAAAAAAAAAAAAACAGTTTTTAAATAGTTTTACTTATATACCTGTATATACCTATATATATATATATATATATTATTTAATGTCAGAATTATTTCAATAATAATATAAAATTTAAAAAGAATTATATATTAAATAAATTGTTTCTAAGATAGTTAGGAAAGCGAGTAAAGCGTAGACTTATAAACACTTCATAGAAGTAATACACATAGTATTCTATAATTACTATATTATTGTAATTTAACATACTCGTACAAAGTGTTTCACTTGTATATCCATGATAGACATTGATCATAATATAATAATAAATAATTATAATAGTAATATAGTAAATTATTTTTTTATTATATATAATAATTATATACATTGACTAAAATTCAGATTTTATGAGACCACTGTAGTTGATAAGGGATGTACTGGCCACATAATGCAAAAAATACACAAGAATAAAATTTTAAAACTATTAAAATTAGACAATGATTAAGGCCGATACATAAAAACCTAATAACCCAAATTGTTTCACTTAATTCAGTACATGTATTTGTTAAATCTTTCATATATATACTTCTTCATACTATGTACAAATTACCAAATCAAAATAAAAAAATGAATTATAGGATTTCTTAATTTATTTACAAAAAAAGTTCTAGACATGAATTGAATTTAAACAAAAAGGTAATAAAATAATTTTATACCGATAAAATTTGTAATTTAAAACCATTGGTTATACTATACATTAAATATGGGTTTTAAGTTACTCCTACGATAATTACGCAGTATATACCAAATGTTGAGAATACAATATTAAATTAATGTTTAATCAACATATTAGGACGATTTAATTAAAATTGAAACAACTTAATAATTTATTATAACAATCAATACAATTGTGTATGTAATATGCCAAACAATAATATTATTTATTAAGAGCATTTAAATAAAGTTAAAATAAGTTAATTTTGAATAATTAGGTTATTTTATTAAGGATATATTATTTCAGAATAAATTTTGTTTTTAATATTTAATAAACATATTTTATCCCGAAAATGTCAATACTATAATATACAAATATTAATCAATTTTTGAAGGTTCACTTTGAGAACTTTCATTTTCCATTTTCAACCGTTTTTTTTCACGTATGTCTGCAAGGGTTTGCTCAATTGATCTCAAGTCTTTTTTATTTTCACTTGGAACTAAAAATGTGTATGCTGAATAGTTTACATGTTAAAATAAATGATTATTATTAGGGCACAGAACTTGATACATTTGCATATTTTTTTCTAGTGCTTACATTCAAAGCTCGTATTCATAAAAATATTACTTATGTTATGCAGAATCGAATGATACAAATTTAATTTTGCAATTTAGTATTTTTTGCTTAAAAGGTTATTTTTTATCAATTTTGGCTAATTTTAAGCATTTTTTTTACTTTTTGAAATGTAGGCATATTTGTATTGTTTTTATTTAAAATCTGAGTTATACTGAGGAAGTGCCAGGGCCGGTGCAAGCAATTATAAATGTGGGTGAGGGGGATGTACCAGCCACTCACTTTTATCAGCCTTTTTAGCATACAATTTTTTATTTTTTTTTTTTTTTGAAGTACTGGTTTTGATTTTGAGCGCTCTCTATGCGGTGAGATCTCACAATCTACAACATTTTGCCATGGGCATTACAAGGCTAAAAAAATTCAAGTAATTTTATTTACTTTCCTGTAAATGTAAAATAAATGAAATATCTGACTACTCAACAATTATTTTATAATTGTCAACTATAAATTTATTTTTAATTTTTTTTTTGGGGGGGGGGGAGTATTTATGCTCCGTATCACCGGCCCTGGGAAGAGCGAGTGCATGCAGTATATTTTTCGCTTGCCTCGACTTTAAGCACAACATGCACTCGCATATGGGTATGAAATGAACAGAAATAAGTTAATATTTATTTGCTTAAGAATATAATTTTAATTTAACTTCCTCTAATCTGTACAGTTTAATAAGTAATAAAATAAGAAACTAAAAAAATAAAAACCAAAAGGAAAGAATAGTTTAAGCATGGTAAGAAGTTCTTAGTATTAAATTTTTAATTTAAATAAAATATTATTTTTTTATAGCATTGATGCATTTTAACACTTATTTAGGTAATTTTTTAACATCTATAAACATTTTTTCAAGATTTTTGAGTTATCAAGTTCTGGTCCTAATTATTATAAAATAAATAAAATATTTAAATTTACCAAATCCATAAGATTTGTTTGTTTCAGTTTTCCGTGCAGCTTGTTCAGCTGCTTCCAGTCCAACAAGATGTTGGAATTTTTCTTTGTAATTATATTTAGGCTTATCTTGATTATTTCTTTTTTGCATCATTCGCTTTTGTTCATCCAACATTTCTTCAAGTTTCTCCTGCTCCCTCTATGTATTATAATTATCATTTATCATCAGTAAATTAATTTACTGCAGTGTTTTTTAAAAATATGTATGATATTAGTTAATCAGACAAAATACTATATTATTATAAATATAGTAACTTACATACTATGATCAAATAATATACAAACCTGTGCCTGTAATCTTTTAGCAATTTCATCATTCCATTGTTGACCATTTCGGAGTGCATTTAATTCATCCTCAGAAGGTGGAGTCTCTTTTTTGAATATCATAATATATCGATCAACTTCTTCTTCACCAAAAGAATATGCTATCATTCCAGCATCTTCTGCGATTTCATGCCTGTAAAATGGAATAATATAATTTCCAAAAAAACATTAAAAAATATAGTTTAATTACACAATATTTCGTAGCACTTTATTCAATGGAGGGAATTTTAAGCGTGTTTGATGATCATCTTGGACAAAGTCTGTTACTTTTTTCTCCGTCTAAAATAAAATGCTACAAATAATTAACTAATAATAATAGTTTATCTTTATAACTTTTTAATATTACATTAAATAAATATATAATATATAAATTAACAAAGAACAATTTCAAATTATCAAGAAAATTGAATAGTAACTAAAATGAATGATATAAATAACCATAGATTTTTGATTTTCTAATAGGTATATTGAAGTATTTGTTAAGGTTAGTAACAAAATAAACATAAAATTAAAATCATACAAAATGTATACATTTAAATTATTAAAAATAATAAATATTACTTCGTTGCGAAACTTTAGAATTTTTGCTTTTTCCTTGCACTGTTGTTTTAGATATATTTCTTGGGCTTCTAAAATAAATTAATGTATACAAATTATATAGGTAACCAAAGTTATTTTGAACAGCAACAAAATAAACATAATAAAACTAACTTTTTTGTCTCAGTTTTTCCTTATTATCAATCGTGGGTGGCTTTTCCATTGATTTCATAATTGACCCAAGTAAATCCATAATGATAGTTATTACTTAATGGTTAATGCTTAATGAAACCAAATAGAAATACAAAATTGAACTATAAAACTAATTGTACAATTAATGAATAAAGACAAAAACTACTTTATACATTGAATTTACCAAACCTTAATATAAAATTAATAAGTGACACAGAAAATTATTATTACTTAAGTACTTATTACTATAGACAAGAATACTATTTAAAATTTATATTTGATATTTGAAGTTTATACCAGGAACTATTATCACTTAACCTATTCCGTAGATGAACCAAATCAGTATTCAGTCCGAATAAAATATCAATAGCAGTGGGATGCACTGTGTTTTATCATAACCATTATCTCTTTATAATTTATCTGGCGCGTTAGAAAAATTATATAGATTTAAAATATGTGATTTTATTTTTGTATTCTTCTATGAATTATAATTCACTCAGCTTAATTTGTGTTTTATTTTTGATTTGAGTAATTATAATATATTATTTATTCAGTTAGTTTATCTTTATTTTGACCTAAACTAACAAACATATTATTATGTTTCAGAAATGGATGTATCAAATTTAGATTACTATCCTATGTACATATTGAATGTGATTCCAGAACTTTCTGATGATGGAAACGTGCAAATACCACAACAAATATTGTCTAATGGACAACTGCCATATAGTTGTTTTATTCCAAATACTGAGCATCATATTACAACATTAAGTACAGAAAACGTTCAACAAATAGTTCCTCAACAAAATAATAATATAAAATCAATTAAGACATTATCATATGAAAAAAAAGTTCACGATACGGCAGCTAATAATGATATAAATTTCAAGTTAGTTCTTTACATAACAAATACACGTGTGTCTAAAATTTTATAATGTAATTTTTATTGTTTTAGAACACGGGATAATAAATGTACAGAAAAATCAATTAATGATCTATCATTGTTATTAAAAGATGAAGATATTAATGATACCAAGACTGAAGTGATAAAGTATGATGCAAAGACTGACACGAATGTAATTTTTCAGTAAGTAAATTAAATTTCGATTTTTATACTTAAACATTTAACTTGTACAATTTTTTTTTTTAAATATATTTTATCACTAAACTAAAAATGTGCAATACTTTTTTTAATACTAAATAAACTGAAATCCGAATTCTAAAATATAACTAATATATTATAATTAGTTCTTACAATATCCCTTAAAGTATTAGTATTAATCGACAGAGTTTTACTGGTTTACGACAAAAATAACCACTGATACGTTTAGGCTTCATGAGATATTGTAAGAACAGCTTTAAATGTAATAAAATTTATTATAGTTTAGTCAGACCATCTGATTTAGAAGTGAATCCTACTGAAATAAAAGTACCAAAACGTGGACGACCAAAAAAAAATGAAACAAAAGAAGATATTTCTTCAAAACAGTCTAAACCAGAAGATGTAATATTCAATTAAATTAAATTTTTGTTCATTATTATTAACAGCAATATTTTACAGACCATTGAATATACACCAACGTTAACAAAATCGGGTCGTTTGTGTAAGCCTCCAAAACATTTATTAAATGGAGATAAAATAAGTGCAATAAAAAAAAACTCAATTCTTAACAATGACAATGATATAGGTTCGTTTATTTTTTCATATATTTATGCATAATTAGATTGGCAACAACTCTAGCACTTTTCAAGTTTAATTAATTTTAAAATCGTAATAATTTTTTTAATTATACTTTATAGTTTATACTGTATACAATATCAATACAATTATTGTACATGCAATATTGTTTGTATAGGAAAAAGTGTTTTTAAATTAATAACAACGAAATTCCTATAAAAAAAAAATATCGCAGATAAGTTGTTTATTACATTTTTAATTAATTTAAATATTTTTGTTTAGTTATTTGTGGTAGAAAAAAAGTAAAATACAATGTAAAAACAGATTTTGTATGTGGAGGTTGTGGAAAAATTTATTTGGGTCACAAACGAATACAAGAACATTTGGACAAGTTTCCTACTCACAAAATGAATGCAAGTGAACATCAAATCAAAACATTTGATTCAGTTTTACAGGATAATTTTCAAAACCTTCATGAACCACCTATGAATAGTAATTTCTCTTTAATATTGTATAAATCGGTTGTTTTCATAAAATGTGAATATTATTTCAGTTGATGTAGTTAATGACAAAAAGGAAACACACACTCAGACTGAAGTTATAAAATTTAGACATTGCGGTTACATAAAATCAAAAAAGAAATTATCCTATCATTTAAAACAAGTAACTATAATAAAACTTTCCTTTTTTCAAAGTATTCCCGTTAAATAGATTTCAATTTGTATATTTTAGGTAATGAAACATTTAAAAAAACCGAACTTAATTAAATCCTTGTCTGAAACAATATCTGTTTGGGATTTATTATCCTGTACACTTGATAGTGGAAATCTACAAGAATTTTCCAAAGAACTAAATACACTAATTATAAATTTGAGAAACGTATCAAAATCCTTAAAACTTATATCAAAATGTGAATCTAATCTCATTGATAGTAACCAAATGGTAAAATACTAACCAACAATTCATATGTACTATTATTATATTATAATTTCTTGTTTGATTTTGTTTCAGTTCATAGACGATTCATTAAGCCATTTATTTGATTTGCCTAAAGGTTCTTATAGTTTAACAAATATTCAAAATGAATATGAAATTGAACCAGCATCTAGCGTTTGGGCTATGAACCCTGCTAAAACTGTTGAACCTATAGTGTCTGCTCCTCAGAATTTAAATCACCATTCTAGTGATATTAATTTAAATCTGTTTGACACACAATCATCTAAGGTAGATTTTCTACTGAGTTCTAGTATGGAAGAATCAATTATGTGCGTTGGAAATCAAACAGCTCTGGAAAATGTAAATGGTCTCGTATCTGAAAGGTTACACACAATGTCTGATCATTTGCATTCAAATGTACCCATTATTGGTAAGATTCTATTGAGATAGGTATACATTTTATTTTTATTTTTATTTTTATATTAAAAATGTTTTAGATTATCCAATTACATCCACTTCATCTGCCTCCAATGTCTCTCAACCGGATTCTTTTATGAGTCATGGAGTCTATGAAGTTTTTACTAATGATTTGAATCTAGTCTCTACAACCACAGAGGAATTTATTAAAAGCTTGGAACAATTTGAACCTCTTAACGATACTGATAACTCTCTAAGTACAGAAACAAGAATGTTAGACTTTGAAGATCTTCAACATACATTTCACACAGCTTAAATTTAAGTAAAAAAACAACTATATGACTTTTTTTATTCAAAAATTGTTCTTATTTGTTATTACTTACATAGGTATTAATGGTAATAAATAAAACCAATTAATGTTTTTAAAATTAAATTATACAACATTTCGAACCTATGATTGAACTATAATTTGATTACTACAAACTTATTAGCTAGTGAAATCTTAATTGCATGACAAATAAAAATAACTAAAATAAACAAAACACTATGTATCTTTAGGTTTACAGCACTAAGAATTTATATTGTTATGCTGTACAATGAAATAAGGTACATTACCTGGCATCATAGATGGAACTATTGCCCGATTTAATATTAGGCCCATGATATATATTGTATATATATAAATGCACCTTTAAATATACTTATAGATTCTTTATGTAAAAAATAATACATCAGTTACTAAATTATTAATAATAATTAATAATAAAACTTAAATTTTACATATAATATTAAAGTTATATAGGTATTTAATAATAATATATAATGATATGATATAGTAACTTAAAATTCTCCCATTTTATTGGCCTAGTCTAATCAAAATGTCCAGTTCTGCCTAAACATGTCGTACTTAAAAACCCCACAGGCGTGACTCTACAAATTTAAATCAAACTTTTTGGTTATTTATTTTAATTAATTTCTGTTTACTTATTATTACAATTAACAATGCTGTAAAAAATGGTAGTATAGGGTTATTAAATTTATATAGGTACATTACGATAAATCATTTATAACTACAAACACATATCAATGTGATAAATTCAAATTATTCATTAAATAATGGTCACAGGTATGGACGGAATATATATTTCTCCATTCAAAAGTGAAGCCGTGTTGTTTAGACCCTTTTGCCATGTCACTATTGATATGAGCAAAGTTTGGTTAAACATGTTATGAACTTTAATTGAAAATTGTATTATTTGTAACTACTAAATAAATTAAAATTATCAGTGTTTTTCAGTATTTTTATGGAGCCAAAAGTTTTATACACATAAATCAAAAAATTAATTTGCAAAAATTCCTTGATGTTATCCAAATAAAACCAACACAAAACTAAAAAATTGCGCTATGCTAACTTATATCTGTATAAAAATTATATACTTTTCATACAAATTAATTAAAAATTAATATACCTATATTTTCTTCGTTGTTATGCATTTAAATACATATAAATAGTATCTATATTTGTATTACCTTTTAATTTTTTAATAACTAAAATCAATTAATGTTCAAACATTAAAAACAAAATCAAGTAAAAGTTGAAAAAATAACAAATTACTAATTTAATAAAAATTGTTTGTATTTTATTATTTATTTACCAACATTTCTTTGAGTATAACTATTTGTATTACATTAATTTTAAGTAGGTACCTAAATACTAACTACTTAAAGAATAATTATTTTTGAAATTTTGAAATACAATATTAATTAATTTACGAGTGTTTTAATAACAATATATGCTGATTTAACTAATTCTATAAAACTTTGATAGTTAATCATTTCAACTATTAGTGGTATTTATAATTACGATGACGAACAATTTTGCCGTAATTAATAACATAGAAGAACAACATGCTACCAGTAACAATATGAATCAATGGAGCAACAGTTGCACGTTTCGGTTGTACATATTTATGTGACCACCTCCAGTAAGCGCGAGAAAACAAGCCAGCAATTGCTTTTGGTGACTTATTACGGCGATTAATCCATTCAGAAACCTAAAAAAGTAGTATTCACTATTAGGATTTGGTCAATAAATAAATTGTACAATAGGTAGATGGTAGATATTTGTAACAAATAAATAAATACTTATAATTACTTTACAAAATAATTCTTAGATAAAATTCAATGATTTTCAACTTGTTTAAAATTGTACAAATTGAAATTAAAGCAAAATCTTTTTATAATAAAATTTAATGATGTGCACTGAAGCGTTAATTATAGCATTATTTAGCTAACAGTGAAAAAAATGGCATACTAATATAGGCGGATCAAGTTTGTCCTATTTAGATTTGATAATCAAATGTCAAATTAAGGTTACAAGCAAGTAGATACCTAAACTTATAAATAAATTTGAAACTATTTTAATCAAAGTAATTAAAAGAGAAATCTAAGTTTAAGAAAGACTAGATAATACATCAATATTATGGTATTAAAGATTAATTCCAACAAGAGGTAGACAATGCAAATCCAATGAAAACGACTTTAAAAAGTATAAAACATTTGCATAATAGCGATTAGTAATTTATGGAAACACGTATTGCATTATGGTCTTGATTTTAAGGTGATATCTAGTATTAATCAGATAAGTAAAGGCTATTAAATAATGTATTATAAGAAAAAAACTAAACAAAAACGTCACCATTAATTGCCAAATGATGTAGTGATTGAAAACGATAATTCTTATTATCTAATAGCAGATTCTTCATGATAACTTATTAAGAATATAACATTTAACAAGTTCTAGTAATATAACACAGTTTACGATATTTATTTTCAGATAATTAGTTACCTCTCCAAGTTTCAATTGAGAAAATGGTGTGTCGGGTGTTCCATAAAAACGTGCTGGATCGTACGGTCCATGTACTTTGGGATTATATTCGGCAGGGTAGTCGCCGATAGCCATTTTGAATAATATAATGAACCAAAAACGATTCAAACAACGGCGAATTAGATACAACAGCGGGCGAACATGAAAATATTCAACGGAGGACGAAGGTTAAAAGTTAAGAAGGCGAACTGCAATGCCTGAAAACATTCCCATCAGCTGATAAAATATCAGCATAACCAACGTAAAATGTTAAATAAAAATGAAAATATTAAATTCATATTATAAAAAAGGGTCGGGAGCAGTTGTCTAAAAATGATAAGAGCCGAACACGAAAAATAGTGTGTCAAACTTGTTGTGCAACCTAAATTTCAAAAATTTTATGAACATTAGAATATTAAATAATAAAAATAAAAATAGACTAATAAATTCTAGTCTTCGTGATTTTAACATCGACATTGTGATATTGTAGGTAATTCGTTGGCAACGGTTGGCAGTACACTTTTGTTTTTGGATTGTTATCATTCCACAGATCCTTATAAGTGGACAACTACATTACTGATTGCCATAGATATTAAAGATCTTTAATAATTTCAAGTTTTTCTTGAGACATCATATTTCTGAGCCTGCTCAAAATATATTTTAGTTTAGAAAACTAAATGTACAAACACCGATCATTCACGTTTTTATCGCACTTAGGTATTTTGCATAAAAATATAAATAAAATGTACATAATATACAATTAATAGTTTTAGATAGTAACTACTAATAGTACAACGGTTGTGGGTAAAAACGTCCGGAGGTAAAACGTATTGTATACTGTAGGTATAGCAGATAGCTAGGTAACTAACAACGAAACTGAATGATGGAATCTTAGGTTTTCCAAATTATTTTCACATTCCCATTCAGCTATCAATTGAAAAAATGAGATTGCTGTTGGGGATTGACCAGTGCAAAATAGGTCAAAGGTAAAATATCGAACCGACAATTAAATATCTACCTAATCTTGACTTGAGGCAAGACTGTATTTAGGGGGGAATAACAGAGGGCTGTTAACCCGGGCGGCTGATTATGATGGAGCAGCTAAATTTTGTATGCATAATTTCATTAATTTAATATTTGATTATTTATACTTTTATCACGGCCTTACTTTTATAACCTATTCTCGAGATTTAGGTAAGATCGCCTAAATGCTTTGTCTGTATTAAACATAGAAAGTGAACTAGCTTCCAGCATCAATTATGATAATATAATTAAAGATTTACCGGAGTCACAATTCAGGAAAAAAATATAATTGTAATTTAAAAATAAAATATTTCTATATTGTATTAAGTTTGTATTATATTATAATAGGGCATTTTTTATGTTGCCCCTGGGAGATAAATTTCTAAATACGACCCTGCCTGGTGGTCCATTTTTAAGTTCATATTACCAATTGATTTTAATATATTAATATATGTACTATAATAAATTAGAGGACGATTTTAATGCACTATAACTGAAATTTGTATTATTGAATTTTATATTTTTCTGTCTATTTTTACACTAATCGGAAAAAAATATCAATTTCAATAAAGTAAAAATTAGTGATTACAATTTTACAAATATGATCAATATTTATTATTATTATCTATACTGTTTATAAGTGTAAATCAGTTAAAAATGTCATACTGAGTGCTTGCTAGTGATGGATGTAGGTACTTGATATTTTTATGATACATTATATATCAAAGTATCATTTTTGTTTTAATTGATAATATTTTGGATATTTTGGATTTAGACACCAACTGACATGATTAAGTTAATTTGGTTCCATAAGACAGAGGCTTTCTGTACTTGTAACAGCTTTTTATGTTGCATTAAGTAAATCGATTTGGGTATTATCAATTGGTTCGATTGTGCTTGCTTCAGTTTCTGGCTATGGAGGTAAAATAACTTCATTTAAATTATTATTATTGATACGCTATGAATTTACTATAATAAAATATTTGTATTTTAAATATTAACTAAGTTTTGTAGGTAAAATTTTTGTCGTTTGATATATTTTTACCGCTAAGTAAACTTACTTACTGTGCCTACCTAATTAACCCAACCATCATATTGTTATCATATTTTGATGCTGATGAAGTGATGTATGCTAACATAATATTTCAGGCAAGAATATTTAGAAATTATTATAACAATTCATATTTCTGTGAAATTATTTATTAATATTTCAATATTATTGTTTTTTTTTTCTTTTCAGTTACCAATGTTTTTGGGCATTGCAGTTTTGATGTTCTTTGGTGCCTTTATTTTTCATTTGTTGTTTGAGATACTTTACATTTCATTGTTTAGAATGCTAATAATGAAAGCTAACATAAAAATTAAATAATAGGAATTGCTATTATATGTATATTTTTATTTATTTAAAATGCCTAATTTATGTTGAATTTCACTGTATTTTATAGGCATTTTCTATTTATACTTATTTATTGTCTAGTCATTTTAGATAATGGCTAATTAAGGCAGACTGAGATAAAAATAAATATAAACTATATGATTGACTAGTCTTTTTTTTTTTACTGATTAACTAAAACTCAATTTACCGCAAGGTTAGATAGGAATATTATTTATGAGTACTCGTTCTTTTTTAGTCTTTTTTCTAGAAAATTTTGAAAATCATAAAACATTATTAAAATATTTATTGTACAGTGATTATTTTTTACTTTCTGTGCAATTTTTTTTTACGAAAAGTAGGTATGTTTTGAAAAAGAAAATGTTTTATAATTTATTTTCAACTTATTAGTCTTAATCTTAGCAAGTTATTACGAAATATTTCTTACCTCATCACTTATAATTATAGCTCTTTAGCATCCGTTGTGCGCACGCTCCTAGTTGTAGGTGGAATGTTGTAGGATATATAAATGTATTTAATTTATATCTGTAAGCAATCATTAATCACGGCTAACGAAAAACGATTTCGAGTGAAATTCGTTTAAACATGAATCGCGTTCCTTTTCAAATATTAGAGGAACCAGGAACAGGTAAATGTTCCTATTTATGTGAAACATAAAACCAAATTTCCGGTACTTCTAATAGGAAAAAAATTGGATGCATGTTATTTTAGTGATAATTTATTAGGATTTTAAACATGTTGATTCTGAGAATAATAGTTTCCAATTTTAGTTATCTTACATTCCCAACTTCCTGTACCTGTAACTGTAGCTGTATTTTTTTAATATTTTTTATATATTTTTATATTTTTTTAATAAATATGTAATATGCGTATTTATTTTAAAAAAAAAACCGCTTAAAGGAACGAGTTCTTTTTTAAAAAAAAACTTTTGTATGTAAAATATGTCTGTATTTTTTTCTAACACTAAATACAACTTATAATATTGTAGTAGGTGAGTTCAGATACAGCAGTGCATAGAGATGTTCGAGTACACGGAGCTAAGATGGTCTGTAAAATAATGAGCTTCGTGTTAAATTTTCAAGCATTTCTGTTTGTTAAAACAATTTTACTATCATAATACCTACTCACACAACAAATAAAAAAAACCTAAAAAAATCTTTAAAATATAAAATGCCTACAAATAGCTCAAAAATTGCCAGAATGTTTTAAATTTTTTACCAAACCTATGAAAATGTCATTTTCATTTAAATTTAGGCTAATTTTAAAGCTAAATATAGGCGTTTTACATTTTCTAGTTTTTGTTATGTAGTTCTACTATGTGGATTTATTATAGGCAATGTGCATATTTAGGGAAAAACTTAATGTAAAATCGTTTTCAATATCACTATTTATGAGTTAAGCACTCAAGAGGACGTGCTCTGACATAGAAAATTAACATTCTGCAGGAACAACTTTGTCTTACTAATTTTAATATTAGAATGAATTGACCTAGTATCAAAGTTAAAGATAAATAAATTGCCTGTACAATATTAATGCTATTTTTTTGACGTTTAATTTTTAAACGAACATTTTCTTTAAATTATATTTATTAACTGAATAATGATAAATATCTATATAAATAAATGATAAAATATCGAAAATAATCATTATCAGTTATAGTTTATAATATTTTACTCTAATATTAAAATATAACACAATATTGTCGCTGCTGAACGCAAATTTACTATATAAGTTTATATATATATATTACTATATATACTATTTAATATAAGTTGCCATTTTAAAAACAATATTAGGAAGCCGTTTCACCCTTAAAAATAAGGATGACAAAAAATAATGTTAATTTAACATTATTTGCTATTATTTCCCGAAGAATTTCGAGGTAACGTATGTAGTACTGGGTAGACTTACTTACTGTGCCTACCTAATCAATCCAACCATTATATTTCTGTCATACTTTGATGCAGATAAGCGATCCATAATGATATATTATTTCAAGTAATTGTATATTTAAAATTTATTATCAATATTATTCATATCTCGGGAAATTTGTTTGTTAATATTTCTATTTCTATTTTTTTTTTTTCTACTTTACAGTTGCCAACGTTTTTGGGCATTGTAGTATTGACATTTTTCGGTGCCTTTATTTGTTATTTGATGTTTGAAACACCATACATATTACTGTTGAGAATGTTAACAATTAAATCAACACGAGAATTAAATAATTATAATAAACACAAATCAAATTAAAAATTAAAGTTATTTTTTAAATATTATATTAAGCCTAATGTATTCATTATTCAATTATTATTATAATATACACATCCCGTATTATCATTTTATATTTTACCTACCACCCACGCTTCTAGTATTTTTCTTTTAATTATTTAATTTATTTGTAGTTATTTTAAGACGTTCCAGACGTGGTACAATCTTCTGAGTTATTTATAGGTTTATAACTATTTGAAATGTTCAAGTTCTAAAAACCGGGTAAAAAAAAATGGGAAAACCGAGAAAAACGGATCAAATAATTAACAAATATTATTAAGGCTGTTTCACACGCACTGAATATTCGCGCGTCGAACGTGATTTGAAATCGCAGTGGTTTTTAATCGCTAATTTCATTTCGGTTTCACACTATATAAACGATTAATCGCTTGATACGAATGACCTACGAACATTATTTCCCGCCAATTTTTGAAATAAACAATTGATCTTTTATTTTTCATTTAGTCGTGCAGACATCGTGGTTGTGTGAAGTTGTTGAATTGTTGTTAACATGTTCTTCAACATTCTCAATAGCGAAAAACACTGCCAATTGGCCATTTTACTATTTTTGACACAATTATATAACAATAAAAAGTAAACAAATTAATTATGTATTAACAGCTATAAGCAAATCGAATATAAATTAAAAATAATATAATACAAATAATTACACCTATATCAATATTCAATTATAAAGTAAAAATTGATGTCACATTTCTTAAGTGATTTATTTAATGTGTATGATTATCATACGACTAACGTTTATCACCGACTTTATACCAGTAGATAATTTTTTGTATGATAATTGTTAAATTAAATTTTATCACTTTTTAAGAATAGCCTTTTTTGTAATTTATGCAATAAATGTGTTTATTTCATGTGATAACCAATCGAATGATTTCAAGAATTGGCCCCCAAGTCCTAAACTGCTGGACCTGTTGGCCCATGTGGTGGACATGATTCTGCGCACGACTTTCTGGAATTCCATAACCGACTCTGTACTGTCAAAGTCTTCTATCTTAGTGCTGATACTTTTTCTCTTTTAGGTGAGTAGATCTTCTGAAGGTGTCCCCACGAGGAATAAGGCCGCCTCAGAAATGTTCATTTACTTGCAAGTATACACTGTTATACATGGTCTGAATACATCTTCCTTGATCAAGCCATCTATAAAGTTTTTGGTTTTTATGGGTGGAGGGGTGTCATAAGAATTCCGGAATCGGACATAGAAATTCATACGAATTGCATGTTAATCTACAAAAGAACAAGGACGAAAAATGTATTGTATAACTAGGATGAGGCTTTATTCGATTAACATATAAATTCATACAAATTACAAACTAAATATTTGCTAAAGAAAAGCACAAAACGATGAATGGGGGATGAGATGGGGACACGTACGTGGGATTTCAAAATTATTTGATCTATGCATAAAACTATTAAAGAATATGCATTTCAAGCAGTAGAACATATTAATCTTGAAGGGTTCATAATTTATTAAATAAACAGCGTGTGGGGGTTATCCACACTTCCATACAAATTTATATATTAAATTCTGAATGCAACCTAAAAATTATTATTTTTCCTATGATTTCTTGTTTTTCTTTTTGGAAAACATTTTTTAGTTAGTGAAAATTAATAGTGGATTTCGGCATATGTTGAAGGATATCAGAAAATCTGGTGTTGAATGTCTGAATTTAAAAAAAATAGTAGCAAATATTAAAATATCAAGTATCGGAAAGTAAACATATTGACACACCAGTCATCATTATTGAAAATTCTTCCATTTTTTCATACTATATCTTAAAATATGTGACTTTTTCACACGATAATATTTTAAATAAATATTTTTTTTTTCTAAATTCTCAATACTTTTTCCAAATCATATCAATTTTTAAAAGAAAAGTAAGTATTCATTTGTATATCCATAGCGGTGTTTATGGGTCCTTTTTTTTTTCATATTTTCTATCAAGAAATGCACGTTTTCATTTAACTCAATTCCTATCAATTTGAACCGTCAATAAATTATTGATAAATTAAAATATTAAACAAATCGTCCATAGAATCCATATTAAATACCGTAATTTATAAAATGTATAGTACGTCTCTTTGTCTTAAACTAGTAAACAATAAAAACTGGTAAAAACTAAAAATAGTACGTATTCGCAGAAACGCGAGATGCTTATGTTGCTATACATAAGTATATTATGTGCGAGACAGACAGAGAAAACAAAAATGATAGTGACGAACCCCCCCCCCCCTCAAACCCTATACTTATTTGTTTTTTCCGTACCTATATTACTTATAATTTTCCGCTAAAGATTTTTGTTTACAATGGTTAATCGTTGTATACAATATATAAACCCAATTAACACGTATATCCTACCTACCCTACTACCCAGTACCCACCTATAACAGTGGCTTACCCGTAAACAGTGTCAATAATTTATTAAAATATAATCTATTGTTTACACGGGAGAAAACGTTTTAATTTATTCAAATTTCTTTTCGTTAAATGTATGCACGGATAAGTCGGTTAATACAGCTAGGATTAACAGAGTATATTAATGAATTACTGCATTGGTAAAATTTTTTTTAAATATTACAGTAAATAAATGGAAATCCCTTGTTCAAGTGCAAAGATTTTAAGAAACATTCAAATACCAAATTGTAATGATGATATGCATTATACGTGTATTTATAGTTATTATTTTAATTAGTTCATAAAAACGGTTACATATGTTTTTAAAGGCCGTAATATTTATGATTTGAAAATAATATACTTTGCAAATATTTTCGTTTTTACTATAGTTTTTCCCGGTTTTTTCAATGTATTATGAAACCCCTGGAAAAATAAAAATAAATGACTTCCTTTTAAGTTTGTTTAAGGGGTAATACTTTAAACTTTTAAAATATTACCCCAGTCGAATTTCCTTTCGGAAAAAATGCTACACTTGAAAATCTAAACAAAAATTTTGGTAGAAGAGTGGTTCACAGAAAAAAAAAAACCATATTGTTAAACCAATTGAAACAGATGTAAATATAAAGACAAAAGTAAGTTAGAGACTATTGTGATGGTATTACCCGAAATTAAATTATGATAGAACAAGAAGTGTTTAATTTCCATAATAGACAATTTACACGATATACCATATAAATTGTCGAATCCTTAAGGAAACTTATGAAGCCGGTGTGAATTATTGGATAGCGATATTGTAAATTAAGTTTTTTATGAAATTTAGTGATACTGGATTGCAGTATGGTTTAATATTGAGAAGCGTAAACGGTTTTCCTGTGATTATTCGACCAAGAAATATCAATAAAACATAATTTACATCATAATAATTATTAATAACCCTGACATGTGTACTTATTAATTGAGCGAAATAATCTCTATAAACCCATTAGCGCAATTAATACATTAAAGTTATTTAAAATTGTAATGCTTTTCGTAGGTTGCAAAGCACCAATAATTGATAATATCAAATAAAATGGAAATAATTTTCATTTAAACATCCAAAAAATGTGTTCTATTTATAAGTTATTTCTAACGATATTACCTGTGTGAAATTAAAACAAAAACAATTTTTAACCAAATCGTAAAATCAAAAAAATAAGAGTACTTCTAGAAGAAAAGTGTTTCACAGAATCTAAAATTGTAAAAAACAAAACACGCACGTAACTCAATCCATATTATAATTTCTGTACGCAATTCGGAAACACCAGTTCATATTATCTAAACACAGTGTACAATAAATTATACTATTTTTGAAATAACATAACTCTGTTTATTGCGATATAGACAATATTTATTGGAATATCTCATTTTTACATAATATAATAATTTACGAATAATAATACATTTATAGTAATTCTAATGAATACTTTTGTTTTAATAAAGCTGACAACAAAATGTATTGTTTTATTAATTGTTAAAGTAAAACTGTGATTGTTGTACACGATAAACATAAATTATAAAATAATTAAAAATAATGAAAACATCTTCAAATAATAATATTATAAAAGCAATAATTATACAGACAAATTTTAACAAAAGATAGTAATAGTAGCATAATGTAAGCGAAACTTCAATCAACCCCGTACGAAAGGCAAACTTATTTCAGGTACTAAGTAAAAAAATACAAAAAGTTAGTTTGTTTGCCTAACTGAAACGTAGTAGGGGTTGTTATTGACACTTCCATCTTAAACTACCGAAGGAAGAAATTATTTACGTACAAATAATTATATACAATCGATTCATTAATATAATAAATCATGTTTGTTTTTTTTTTTTTCTAACAGCTAGGTTTTGGAAACCATGGTTTCGGCCTGAGTGTGGTAATGTCTGTCGAAGTCTTCATTCTTATTTCTAAAACATTCAGAAACATTTGTAAGTTATAAAAATATTATGCGTTTTTATTTAGAAACAGGGGACTGAATAATTATTTCATAGAGTAAAATGCGGATCGATCTTACAATCCAGATTGGTACCTAAATGGTAATTACGTAGAAAATTTAATATCTATATATTACAATCAGTGATTGACGAATACGTCTTTTTTAAAAGTAGATGTATTATTACGACGTGCATTGTACTGTATAATAGTATATACTCCCGGATGTTAATTTACCATTATGTATTAGGTTTTGTTTACAATTTTTAACTACCGATTCTTATATATTATACTTGTATGAAACGAAATTGGATTTTCATAGATTTATCCTTTGTGATTGAATTATTATTATAATAAGTGATCTGACACGTGCATTCGACCGTTCGATTATGATTTTTCATAAATATAATTTAAAATATTGTATAAACCCGATTTTCAATAAGTAATAGAAAATTAATGAAATTTACGTATTTTAGAAAATAATGTATCGATAACAGAATGTTTACTGAGTGGTGTAATTTAAAACAATATTGCACAAATAATTACATCTATTTTGTTTTTACTTTATTTGTGTTTGTATAAGTATGTGTACGAATTTAAAACAAATAACGCGAGTATAGGTAATAAGTGTAGAACTTATAACAGGCATCGTAAATTATAAAATACAATTAGTGTACGGACTATTGATTGAACGATTTAAATTCAGTACAACATTTTAAAACGAATTTTCTCGTAATGTGCAGATTATACACAGGAAATACCGTATCACTCAAGAATTGTTTTATATAGCTCCTTCAAAATTTTTAAGCTAATTCCGAAACTCAACATCTATATCATAGCGTTTGAATTTAATAACGCACATTTTTGAATAAAAAGTCCATATTTGAAGAAATATATTATTTAGCATTTCACGTATTTAATAATATATAGTAGCTGGTGCAAGTTTATAATATGCCAATGTTCAATACTCGTTAAGAATACGAACAATTATAAAATAACAATATGTAAATAAATATTATGTACGGTTCGAAATAGCACTGCAAAATAATATTATTATTGTATAGAAACAGATTTTATTTATTCGCATTCGATACTTATTAATTCCTCTTTTTTAAAAATAAAATTTAAAAAAAAAAAATTATATTTATTATAAATGTATTTTATCTTAGAAAAAAAATAGACTACCACCTAATCACGTATATAAGTTAGTTATTGAAACTACTATTTGGTTTTTTGGAAATTAATTCGATCGAACTTACCGATAGCGGACGTAATATTCTGCATGGTCGTTTTGATATCGATATTGAACTTTATTGTTGTTTTTCTTTAATTTTGAACGGCTGTTATGGGTCTAGGCCGGCTATTGGATCCATCCAGTCCCGGTTGACAGCTGCAGTTACGGTTTTTCGCGCTAAAACTACAAACACAAACAAATGATAATCGTATACGGTTTTTCGAAACCCCACGGAGGCGGTCCCGCCACCAAACAGACATGAATAATAACGCAAATAAAAATTGGGTACAATCGGGAATTAACGACGTCGCCGGGTCCGAAGCGCAACTTATTCAAAATAGCAGTTATGCACTGCGAAAAAAAATTCGAGCGTTATAAAATATTACTTCTCTGCGATGAACGATAATTATTTCGATCGTTCGCCGTACGCATTGACACGCTGTACAAATCGACTAATAATATTATTACTGGCCGTAACGTCAATCGCTATTTGGTACAACGTTTCTTTATTTTCGTGTGCGTTTTTTTTTTTTTTAATTTCCTCTCGGACGCAATATTTAGCCGACGAAACTTGCGACGAACAAACGTCATTGTAATAATATTATAATTTCGGCGAATACACAGGCATAATACATATAATAAATATAATAAACAATTATTACCGATTGACTTTTGTGTACGACGCGGTATTATTTTCTATACGCATAGTCTCGGTTGGGTACGGTAGGCGTGCGACGTTACGAAATACCGGCCGTGGTTAGCAGTGGTCGCAGTACGATATATTGTATTGTATTGGCGGGAAATCGGCGAAATATTAAAAACGTTCGAGACACGCCGAGTGGACTATGATGGTATAGGAGAGAGCGCTGACAGGTAGGTAGGTGTAGTTGAACTGAACGCGACTTACCGTGGAGCTATCATCCTCGATGAGTGTCTACCGTCTTCTGAGATAAATGAGATCAGTTGGCCGGTCCAAATACTCTCTATGTCTTTTGAGAACACCGCAAACGCGTGATGTTAACTGTTCGCCGGTATCTGAGAGTATGGCGGCCTTGACCCCTAACTCGATTGGTACACATTCAAAATGTATTTCTTCTTTTTTTTTTCCTTCTCCTTCTTTCTTTTCTTCTTCCTTTCCGAGCGTTCCTTTTTCTCTTTGTAGTGTGCGTGCGTGTGTCTGTGTGTGTGTGTGTGTGTCTGTGTGTCTGTGTGTGCGCGCGCGCGCGTATAGTTTTTTTTTCACTCGTGTCCCCGGAGAAAGGTGGGTATAGGTAGGTACAAAACGGTAGCTAGCTGTCGCGGGGTATCAAAATTACAGTAATATCCACAAATTTTACGTCACACGACCGTTATAATACGGTTTCGGACCCATTTCAACCTGCGGCTGTCCCGTTATATCGGCTACTGGTTATGAAAATACAAAACGTCAAAAATGTATCAGTTTTAGGGGATTTTTCGAATCGCTTTACAGTTATGTACCGTACGGAGCGGTACCTACGTGTATACGTATTATATATATCTATATACTTTCTCCCCGGAACTCCAATGACCTGTCCCGTTAGTTTCGAATAAAAAAGAAAATGATACATTAACACAGATAAAGGTAGGTAGGTAGGTAGGTAGGTAGGTTGGTAGGTAGGTACCTACCTATATTATACACGCGTACGGACGCATAACGCTAACCTGCTTTGTGTGCGTTTCATTGTGCCGTTCGCCGTTGTCGATTAGTAGTATTATAATAATAATATTATAAACCCGTATACATATATACGCGTATGTACATATAATATTGTACTTATTATTGTATACCTATACGACACGTATACAGCGTATTTCTAAATAAACGCCAAAACGGTCGGCACTTACAAAAACAATCGTTGCAATCGACTGTGGCGTTACGCGCGGGAGGCGGATCCGTGTATACCGGCTGCAGCCTATATATGACAATACGCGTTATTCTAAATATCATCGGTATACCGTGTCGATTTACAATGTATTTTCACGTTTAATCGAAGCGTTTAAAACAGTACAAACCGCCGGCACACTACAGGTGTAATACCCCCACTCTAACAGTACGTAATATTGTATGCGTAGAATATATTCGTATTACGGATTTTGTTATATAGAACGGAATCAATATTTAGGGCGCCCGTGTATAAATATTTAAAAAAGCTGTCCTAGGACAATGGGGACGGGTTACAGAAAGTTGGGAAGGTACAGGATATAGACGGGAATCGTAATAATGTATGTCTGTGAGTGATGATAAATCATTGTTAACGAAAAAACGATTCTGAGCAGAATCCGGTTGATAGCGTTGCTTTTTTCAACAATATAATATAAATGTCATATTTTGGTAAAATAATTACATAATATTGCATTACACATTTTCTTAAATAATATTTGTTCATTAGTGTACCTATTTTTCCGTTTTTTCCCGGGTTTTTATCATTTATTAGGAAAACTCCTGGAAAAATCTAAAATGACCTCCTTAAAGTACCTCTCCAGTCAGATTTTCTTTTTGGATAGATTACTGTCATTATAGATTGGAATAAAATTACAGGTAGATAAGTTGTCCACAGGAAAAAAAATAAAAATCATTGTAAAACCATAAGCTTCTTCGTTCCACTCAGAATCTAAAAATAAACCTAAACGTCATTATTTAATTGGCCCTAGGAAAGAACGGCTTGATACAAGCACATTCAATTTTGATAATACATGTGATTTAAACCGAACAAAGAGTCGTTGCTACTGATGGTACACCACCACTGTATAGGTGGGAAGTTGGGAAGATGGAGACGTATCGTAAGCTACGATAAATCATTGCCAACGAAAAATGTTTATTCGAAATTCGTTTATTCGTGATTTTAAAGACCTTAATATTTACGATTTTCATTCAAATTTCATCTTAAAACAAAATTGAAAATAACGAAACCATTATTTTCGTAAACTTTTATATTTTATCTACGTTTTTCCCAGTTTTGATCAATTTTCAGGGGAAAAAACACTCATCACACGTCTCAGTAAAACTAATAAATCCCTCAATATGCTCAAAATCTGAAACAAGATGTCTAAAACCTTTCTACCAATTAGTATTTTCTAAATCAAATATATAAACTAATTGCATGATGATTACGTGTTTTTAATTATAGATATGTCCAGGTACATTGTACCTATGGTATCTATCCGAATCGCGTTTAATTATCATTGAGAACAATGAGAATAATTTATGAATTTGTGAGAAAAATATGAGCCGTTTCACATATTTATTTACGCGTTTTTCTGTATTCCGAATAGCGCTCATATACTTAGTTTTTTAATTTGACCCTGTGAGTACGAAAAGAAAATTAAATTAAATTTTTTAAAAAAAATTAATAATTATTGCGTACCATGTAGGAATATAAACATAGATTTTAATATTTTAATGAAAGCCGGGCGCACATAATACAACAAGTAGTATACATGCATGATTGTACGAAATATTAATAAGTAGTATATTTGTTTATATTTTTATGCAGTTATTAGGTAAACAGGTAAAGAAAATTGAAGAATGAGTCGATTCTACTAATGTGTGCGCCACTGTTGTAGGTGAGAATTTAAGATAAATAAAGTTATTTAAATATGTATAGGTATATAATATAATAAGCAACGATAATCAGTCGCATGCGGAATTATTGGTAGAAAAGTTGATCACACAGACAACAAGTTAATATTACAGTTTACATATCGTAATAAAACCAATAAATCTTTCACTAAACTCAGAATCTAAAATAACAAAAAGAATTATTAAGCAAAAAAAAAAAATGCCAGAAAATTTACTTAAGTTCTTCTTTCCTGGAACCGAATATATATATATATATATATATATATATATACTAATTATTTATCTAAAATGTACCTAACTGTCGTTTTTAAATCATATTTATAAATTATGTTTATAAGTATAAAGTATACTTATGTTTATTTATAACTTACCTATTCATATTATAACTTATGGATGTGTATAATAATAAATTATTTTTCGTTAAAGACAATTATTGTTGTCGGGGAAAAAAAAAACCCGTTAACACGTTTTATAGAACTATTATTCGATTATTCACGTATTTAGATAAGTAAGTAGGCAATTACACTCAAATAACAATAATGCGTAAGTGAAACTTCAGACGTACTTTTATTAAATTGCAGAAATAATACAGGTACTTACCTATAGTTAGAAATAATTATACAGACAATTTAAATTAAATACCTAAGTACCACTGATGATGATGCTAATAATAATAATAATAATAATAATAATATAATATGAAATAAATGTTTCAAATAATTAACTCTTGTTACACATACAAATACACAATAATACACTCTAGTTCAAAAACTAAATGGAAAAAAAAATGTATTAATTTTTTTTGTTTACATTTAACTATAATTTAGTAATTATATCATACATACGAGGGTATATGGGATTTTGAAAACTTGACGAACTAGCAGATAACATGTGTTGGAAAAATGTTGGGATTTAAAATAAATAAATAGATAGATATACAATAGGTATACATAATATTATATTCTTTAAATGTGTTACGGAAACAGATTATTATTATTATTCTAAAAATTACGACGTTTAACAATACCCGTATAAATATTATACTAGATACGAATTCCGATTATATCCGAAAAGCAACTAGAAGACTTTCTTTTGTGGATATACTATATATAGGTATAGATATACGTATTTCGGATAAAAAATAAAATACCATCTTTGAACTCTCTCTGATAACTAAATATATGTAAATCGATTCGTATATATTATTCCTACGACTATAATATTATAAAGCATAATAATAAAATATTTCCGATGCGCATATCTTTAAAGTTAAAAGAACATCCGAACACAATAAACTGTATTATAAATAAACCCCTTTACGCGAGGACAACGAACACTAAATCTGCTAAAAATCTCTCTGTCTCTCTCTCTCAAACTCTATTTCCCTCTATCTAGTGATGCGCGCGCGCGAGCTAGACTTGGTAGACGCACGCTCTAAATTATTATTTCAGTACATTACAAATAAACCATTGAAACCCGTAGAAATTTCCATTGTTGGGGGGAGGCAAGATTCAATATCGACTACCTGATAACCTAACAATTTGATAAAAAAAAAATATTTAAACATGGCATTAATTTAATTATACACAGGCGCAGATCCAAGAGGGGACTAAGGGGCTTATGAACTTATTCATTTTTCATATTTCATCATTTTAAAATATATTATAACTAATATACATATGTGTTTACTAAAATTATATATTTTGTCTTTCTTTTAATACAAATTAGCCCCCCCCCCCCATTATATATTTCTAGATCTACCCTTGATTATACACACAAGACTTATTTAACGGCAGAAACTAGATTATTAACATTAAAAAACTATTAAAAATACGACAATTACAATAAAGACGATATTTACATTGAAGGCGCCTCGTTACTAAATATTTGTTTTCTCCTTTGTCTCACACGTTTCCAATAATATAGTAACATATTATAACGGGCACCCCGCGATTGCGACTCATTTCAGGTCAAAGGTACCTATTATAGATTTGTTTTTTTAAAAGGAAAGTAAATACTTTTTTTATATCCATAGTATTGTTTATGGGTCCTTTTTTTTGTTTTTTTTTTTCAATTATCTTCTATCGAGAAATGCACGTTTTGATTACACTCAACCGTCAATAACTTATTGATAAATTAAAATATTACCAAATCGTTCGCAGAATCCATAATAAATGTCGGCATTTATAAAATGTATATTACGTCCTAAACTCAACCATACAGTCGCAATCGCGGAAACGCGAAACATCTTTGTACATGGCTATACATTACAGACAGAGAAGACAAAATTGATAGTGACAAGCCACCCCCCCCCAAAAAA